TTATATTTCTATATTTAAAAGAATCATATTCGGTTTTCATAAAAAAACAATTTATTGTATTTTTTTTCGGTTAGTCCGGACTAATTCTAGATTTGTCCGGAAAACTACACAAGTCCGGATGATTTTATTCAAAAAAAAGTAGGCGCCTATATTTTATAAAATTTTACAAACTATGTATATGAATACTATTTCAAAATAAACAATATCATTGAATATACTAAACAACTCTGCTATCATATGATACTTGGCTCTTTGGATTCTTTCACAGTTTCTCAACGTTCTATTCTAATAGATGTTTTTAATAACTTGTGGCTATGAAAATAGCCGTTTTTTAAAAATTCAACGCAGAACAGCTCATCAGTATGGTTCTTTTTGGTCTTACTTCCTAAAATAGTTAATTACTTGTTAAAATTGATTAAATTATTTCTTAAATTTATTTTTAAAAACATAAAAAAAAAAACAAAAAAAAAAAAACGCAACTTTGAATTGTTAATTAACCAAAATTATGAGATAGCCTAACCAAAAAAAATCAATCAAAACTATTAACAATATTAGTAATAAAACTATTTTACCTTTATTTTAAGCAGTTATCAGAAGAACTGTTACTTTGCTTTCTTAAACTATTTTGTTTTCACTCTTTTTTTATCCATTTTGTTTTTTTTTTGCAAAAGAGGTACATATCAGATGTCATTAACAAATAATCAGCTGTATCCCTAGTGTTTTCTGCAAAAGAGGTTAAACGAGCATGACCAATTCGAGAAGTTTTGTTTTCCTAATTTCTGGCTTCAATAGCACTCTCAGACAAAGAACCTATCGGATACTTAAAATACCTTATAAAAGAAGTACCATGAACTATCACTCTATGCACATATTGTGACATAGGTATGGTTTTTAAAAATTTATCATTAGTTATGAGTGCAAATAGATGTTCAGATTTCTGTTTCAAAACCTTTATATCCGGTCTTGTAGTTGTTCTGTTTATATCAATGAGTAAATCTTGAAACAACTTAATCATTCTGATATCCAAATTTAAAATTCTCCCTGTCACAATCGAGTTATTAAAAAATTTGCGAGCAACATTTCCAGTATTGGTTGTTCCACATCCTTTCCTGACAAAAGAAACCCTTATATTCAGTTGTATCTTGAATAAATGCTGGAATTTTTTTTTGTTTTCAATAAATTTTTTACTCTTTTGTGATGGAATATTTCTTCCTTGCTTAACAACTGGGAGTTTACAAGCAGTATTGAAAATCCACTCCATACAGCGCATCCATAGATGAAGACTGCAAATTTCAAGTTTCAAAACATGCTTGTTTAAATTAATATTTTTTTTCCAAATAGTTTTCAAGTTAAACTCCTTAGAATTTGCAAGGCATACATGGCAGGACTGAGATGAAATTTTTTTTTAAAGCATATTTGATTCAACAGCGTTTAGTGTTTTGCCATCATTCATTGTGGTATAAATAGTTGACAAACTAGACTTTACTACAAAAGTACTTTCACCAAGTTTAAATTCAATATTCTTCAATAAAAAAATTTCATTTTTCAAATGTTCAAATTTTTCCTGAATAAAACTAGCAGTCTCTTTTGCAAAACAAAAAAGAAGATGACGGGTTGCATCTAGACTATTTGAAATTAAATTTTTCCATATTATTTTTTCTCCACTTCGGATCTCCAGCAGTAAAAAAAAAGAAAAATAAGTTCTATAGGAATTCCAACAGAGATTCTAAAGAAATTTTATAGAATTCTATAGAATTTCTCTAGGTCATATGTTTTATAAGTTTATAGAAATTTATAGAACCTTTTTTCCTTGGTACCCAGGAAAAAAAGTTCTATAGAATTTTCTATACATTTTTGAAACATATGGCTTATAGAAACTATAAAATTTCTATAGAATGTCTATTAATTTCTATAGAAATTGCTATAAAACTTTTTTTCTATAAAAAAAAAAAGTAGAAAAAAATATTTCAATAGGAATTTTTATAGAAGTTAACAGAAACTCTATAGAAATTCTATAGAATTCTTTAGAATTTCTATAGACCATATGTTTCAAAAGTTTATACAAAATTCTATAGAACTTTTTTTCTGTGTAACTTCCAGACAAATAATTTTAGGGCTTTTTTTGTTTCCAGGCTCCAATCATAAAATTATAAACATAAATATATAAACGTTTAGAGTTTGCTCCATGTCTGGAAGTTAGCTATCTCAAAGACCGAAAAAGGCAATGTCATAGAATTCATTATAAGCTAAACTATATAAAACGTCTGTAAAAAAGGGGTTAGTTTATTTTGGTAAGGGTTTGAAATATTTAAGCCCCCAGTTAATCAATTTCGCTTTTTATAGTATTTTAACTCCCAGAGTTAACTTGTTTCAAAATTCATAACCTGGGGAGTTAAAATGTTTTAAGGGATCGTCTATAAATTATGTAACGCTAAATTTCACTTATAAACAAAACAAAAAAAATCAAAATTTTTCTCTTGCCTTAATTTGAGTGAAAAATCAATATAACGCAGTAAGTTTAATAAAAATTATTGTGTAAAAAAGCTTAAGATCTCCTAATTCTGTTTTTTTTAAATAAATTTAGCGTTGTGTAATTTATGGACGATCCCTAACCATGAGTTAATTTTTCAAGGAGTTAATCCATTTTGCTGCACCGCACAGTGATGCGAATTAAAAACACCAAACTGTTAAAAAAACGGGAGTTAAATAGATATTTAACATCTAAAAAGAGTTTTTTTGGCCATGGAATTCAAATATGGAATTGATATTTTTTTGTATGCAATAAACACCCATACATGTACGCGTTTAAAAGCGTCTTAACTTCGTCGAAACTTAAGCAATAGTAGCCACTATTTATATTTAAAAAAATTAGGTTTTATGAATCAAAATAAATAATCATTGAATCAATCCACACACAAACGTGTAATTCTGCGCGTCAAACATGCATACTAGCACACATAAAACCTTTTTAACAAGCATTAAAAAAATAGGTTAAATAATAATTGTTTTTTACATTTTAATATACTGACAAATTCAATACATTTGTTGGCGATGCTTTCCCTTGGTATTTCTTTGCAAAGGAAATGTTGATCTATAAAAATTCCGATTTAATAAAAACATAGTGGATCTGATCTCTCATTGTCTAAAGTCGTGATATTTTTGCTGTGTGGTGCAAACCTTGGATTACGAATCAGTTTGTTGAGGCTTTCTAGAGCTTCTTTAGAATTGTGAGCATTAGCGTGGAACTTTTAATTGGTTATCACATGTTCATAATTGTACATATAAAATTACATATATAAAAATATAAATAAAAAATAAAAGAAAAAATGTTTTTATTTACTAAGGACAAAGTAGTTTAACATTATCATTAAAAGAAATTTAAAAATTGAATACAAATTAGCTTAAATTAACGTTAACTTTACTTATTTAAAATTTTATGGTCAAAATTTATCTATTTTCATGTATTTTATGTTAAAATATATATTTTAATATTTCTTGAGGAATTATTTTATGTTGGATTTTAACCAAAAAGTAGTTAGTTTAACATTTTAAGTCTAAAATTAATAAAACTTCAACTTTTTTTGTATGAATTTATGCTGTTTTTGACCTAATCTGCCTCACTAAGCACTGGCACAAAATTAACTTGTTTAAAATTTGTAAAGTAGAGTAAGATATTTGGATAAAAATGTATTTGATATTTGTTATGATTAATATTTAAAACATTTTTAAAAATCAGGATCAAAATTCGTCTCCTTTTTGGCGGCATTTTTTTTTTAATGTTTTGGAAAGCTGACGCCAGGAGATAGAAGCCATTGATGGCCGCTAGAAAAACTTTTTGAGGCTACCTCCAGTAACATCTGCCCCCAAACTGGCTGCTGCCGCCAAAGTGGAGGCAGATTAATTGCTTCCTGCCGCCAGAAGTGATGAAATATTAAAAAATTTAATGTCAAAGTTGCCTTTTATATGATTTATTTCCAAACTTTTACAATTTGAAAAAAAAGTTAAAATTTTGCCAGAGTGGTTGTTTTTCTAAATTTATAGCATAAATTAAAAGTTTCATATTCAAAACAAATGTTAAAAATTAGAAATTTTGTTTCTATGCTTTAGACAAAAAAAGCATTTTGACAAAGAAAGTTTGTAACAAATAATTACATTGTCATTTCTTTTATCAAAGTTTGGTATTTTGTTTCAAGTCAGTTGCAATATTTTTTTTTTTACTTATTTAAATTACGGTGTAGCAGGCCTTCTCAGGAGAGGCGTGCGGTCGCACGCCTTGAATGACCACGCATATATATTTTTTTGTTGATAACATGGCCACGATTTTTTTTGCATTTATTAAAAATGACGCATTTTAAAAACGCACTGAAAAAATTAAACTAATTAGTCATCTCTAAAACGCGCTGAAATCTCACTTCAAATTATTTTGCTTCCAACAATTCTTCTAAAGGCAGCCAACAATGGTTACCGCCTCTCTATTGGCATTGCTATCCAAAACGTTTTGCGTCACAAAAAAACTAGATGCAGCTGTCAATTATGAGGCGGTGGCTATGGGAGGCCGCCACCAATCGTTTCCGCATTACCAACTTATCAGTTGTTTAGAATAATTAGATTATGTACTGAAGGTTTTTTCATGACATCTAATTTTTTTTATGACATTTAAAATTTCAGAATTTTAAAATTTCAAAACTTACTTGTATTTTATACTATTGTATAATAATATTGTAATATTTTTTTTTTTGTATTAGTATAAATATATATGTAATATATATATATATATATATATATATATATATATATATATATATATATATATATATATATATATATATATATATATATATATATATATATGTATATATATATATATATATATATATATATATATATATATATATATATATATATATATATATATATATATATATATATATATATATATCTTTGAAGTATATGTGTGTGTTTTCATATCTAAAATTTAAAAATATATTTCACCACAACAGACCAAAATGTATCAAACTCAACGTTTTCTGTGGAAGATGCCATTGAAGCAGTTGGTTTTGGAAAATTTCAAACAAAAGTTTTAGCAATGGTTGGATTTGCTTGGGTATGCATTTAAAATTCTTTTTAAATTAATTTTTTTTTTTTAACATGTTTAAAAAAGGGAATTCTAAAAAATTTTAAAAATGTCTTATAAAAATCTTTAAAAGAAATAGGAAATACGAAAAACACTTTATCATGAAAAATTAATTAAATGTTAATTCTGATTTTATACAAATAATCATGAAAGCACATAATCATGAAGAATCTGATCTTGAAAAAGTCTTTGAATACTATGTATTTTTTATGTACAAAGTTCCATGCAATTCTGCTATGATATTTGATACCTGTACACTTGTGCTATTAAAAGTAACTTAACTTCTTTAATATAGCTACTTTAAAGAAGTTAAAATAAATTTCTGGGAAAAACTGAATTACTTTATAAAAGTAGGATTCATAGTTACAATAAAGTTAAAAGTCGAACGAAAAAAACTTTCAATACAGTTATCGATTTTCATACATTGGCGCAATATATTTTAGAATTATGGAAGTTTCGTCTTTAATAATTTATTTGTTTTTTTATGAAATAGATAAAATCGTAAAACAATGTCACTAGTGGGCAATCTTGATAATTTTAAAGTACTCCCATAATGTGCAATAGTTTAATATTACAAAGAGATTAATTAGAAACAATTTTGTAGCTATACATTTTTTAATTGTTTTGGGAAACATAATTCTTAGTTAGGGTTACACAGATTGTAATTAAATAACGTAAGCTCTAGTTGGAAGCGTGAAAGTTGCAATTAAGAAACATAAAAAGTAATTGTAAAGATGTCATTCGAATCCTAATACATATGATGTAAGGAGTCGTCCATAAATTACGTCATGCTCTGGAGTTAGGAAGTGGGGGTAGAGAAGTTCTCTGGGACAACTAAGTATTACATAATATAGCAAAGGGGGAAGGGGGAGCATGTTTCAACATTGTATTTTACCAATTATTAATAAACACAAACCGGTATCCTCAAACTCTATTTCTGCCATAGATAATATACTAACAAACTCATTTCTAGATACTTCTTTAAAAGCACGAATAGTAAAAATTGATATTACAGCTCATTTTCCAATTTACTTTACATTAACAAATAATACAAGAATGAATAATTATCTGAAAAAAAAATAATTTATAAAAGAAAAATAAATAAATTTTCTATTCAAAATTTTAAAGACACACTATCGGCAGTAGATTGGATTAAAGTGTATCAAGAATGTAACCTGAGGAACATAAACTCTGCATATAATACTTATACAGATATTTTTCTAAAGCACTATAGTAACCATTTTCCAATCAAAGAAAAAGAAATCAAAGTAAAATATTTGAGCTGTCCATGGATCACCAGTGGAATTAAAAAGTCTTCAAAAAAAACAAACAAAAACTATATGTTAAATATTTGAAAAACAGAAATGAGAATAACCTATCTACATATAAACAATACAAAAGTCTTTTCGAAAAAATCAAAAAATATTTCTAAAAAAATTTACCACTTTAAATTACTTCAAAAAACAAATGGAGACATAAAAAAAAACATGGAACATCATGGAAGAAATAGTCGGGAAAAAAAACAAAAAAACAAATAGCTTACCTGATATAATTATTATGAATGAAACCGCACACGATGATAAGAACTCAATTGCCGAACACTTCAACAATTTCTTTGCAAACATGGCCCAAACATGGTGTCTAAATTTTCAACTCCAAAAGACTTCTTTGAAAGTTATCTAACAGATCTAAATAGCGAACTAATTTTCAACGAATTGAGCTATGAAGAACTCAAAAATGCAAAAAACTCTTAAAAAATTGACAAGGCACCAGGAATTGATAAAATTTGTAGCAATGTAGTAATGAGTATTTTTCCAATAATAAAAAAACCCCTCTTCGAAATACTTAAATCTTTAATTATAACAGGAGCAAAGATTGTGGAAGCATTAAGGATTGCCGAAAAAGAAAAAAAGGTCTCTATATCAAGTTTTACGGAAAACACAAATGTTTTATTGACAAATGAAGAAGCACTCAGCGTGTTTGTTGATTTAGATTTAACTAAAGCACAATATTTATACTTGGGGAAGTTGACAAACTAAAAAAACTGTTCCTTATTCCCACCGTATTACAAGTTGCAAGAAATTAAACAAACTTGCTATCCACCATCTTCTGCAATAGAAATTATGAACACACATGCAAAATTTATGGACTGCAAGATTTATTAAATCACACTGTAGATAGAGTTTTGACTATAGATTCCGTATACAATAATAAATTTAAACAATAAATTTTGTATAGTAAATGGGGTTGTGATGGCTCCTCTGGCCAAAGTGAGTACAAGCAGAAACTTCCGATGGAATCTGAACTTATTTCTGATGCGAATTTATTTATTAGTTCTTTGGTACCGATCAAATTAGTTGATGAAGTAACTAGCACAGTTGTTTGGCAAAATCCGGCTCCTTTGTCTGTACGTTTTTGTCGACCTATATGCATAGAATTTTGCTAAGAGACTCCTGAGAAAACTAAAATTGTTGTAGATGAAATAAAAACCCAAATATACTCTTTACAGCCACCTATAATTAACAAAAGTTGTAAAGGAATACAAGTGAAACATGAACTTTTTTTAACAATGATAAATGGAAAAATGGCTCAGGTATTAACGGATACGTCTTCTGCGTCTACATGTACAATATGTGGAGCTACTCCATGACAAATGAATGATTTGACTAAAGTGTCTGCTAGGCCTGAAAATGAAAGCTCGTATCAATATGGATTGTCGACATTATATGATTGAATTCGGTGTATGGAAATGATATTACATATTTCCTACGACCTATCTTTCCTGAAACTCACTGTATAAAAGTTGTTATTAATAAACTATTCTGAATATTGCTATAATAAGCCTTTTATAAACTCTTGAAAATATATGTCATGTAATTATGTAAATGTTTAAATATATGCAAATTAATTAATTACATGCAACTATTAAAAAATCAAATCAGTAAAGCAATTAAACCTAATATAAGTGAAATTTTTGTTTAAAAGATTAAAAAGTACATTTGTTTTTTTTTGTCTAGAGATTAGCCAAAAGCTTGTATAAATGTTTTTTTATTATATAAATTTAATATTAATATATTTTCAAAATAAATAAGCATTTTTTGTCATTTCTAATACTTTTAAAGTTTTTAAATAAAAATAAAAAGAATATGTTTAGTTAAAAGTAAATATTTCCTTAGAAGCCTCATATACTTCTTTACATTTATGCAAAATTTCAACACTTTATCATTAGTAACAAAAAAGTTATTGATTTTTGTAAAAAAAAAAAAATGAAAATTGTGAGGTTTTTGATTATTATTTATGAGTTTTATATTAAATTTTTTTAAAATAAAAAATATTTCCTTAGAAGCCCCATATACTACTCTACATTTGTGCAAAATTTCAACACTTTATCTTTAGTAACAAAAAAGTTATTGATTTTTGATCTAAAACAGACCTTTATTTTCCACTGTTCGGTGTGTAGCTATCATTCCTAGACACAAGTGTGGAGTTATTTTGCGCACTTTTGTGGAAATTAACTTTTTCTAACTCGACTTCTGCACAGAAGTGTGGAGTTATCTATATAAATTATGTAAAATAACTCCACACTTGTGTCTAGGAGTGATAGCTACACGCCGGTATAAAGAAAAACTCCACGAGTGTGCAGCCAGCATTTGGTCCAAAAAAGACTTTTGAACATTTTGAACGTTCAAAAGAGGTTATTTTCATTAAATGCCAGCTGGGACATTGATTTATGTCTGATAACGATCTATTTGATTTAGATCTGTATACAAAGGAAAATAAAGGAAAAAAACTCGGCTACTGCTATTTGTTTTATATTGAATGACTGGTTAAAAAAGATTTTAATCAAGTTATTTTATTTTTTTATTTCGAGTTATCCAAAGAAATTTGCTGAAAGGGACAAAAAAATGGTTCGACTTAACAAAGTTTGAGTTATCCAAAGTTCGACTTAACCGGAGAATTTTAATAGGAATCAAATAGATGATTTTAAGGGACTAAATAAAACAGTTATAATTATAATAAAAGATAATAATAAAAGTTTGAGTTTAACAGTGTTCGACTTACTGGAATTTTACTGTACTTACATAAAGTTTAATTGCTACATTCTTTGAAATATTGAATATCTAAAAATTTGAAATATAAAATGTCTAAATCTCTTATAAAGCATTCATTTTATAACCAATTAATGATTAACCCTTTTGTAGCAGGGTGCAAAAAGTTAAAAGCAAAATTTTGTAGACTTGATATTGGCTAAGTATGGCACACTTGTGCCGACTTATAATCCTTCGCATTTTGCAGGCTACAGTTAGAATTATTTCCACATTATTTTGCATAGATGAGTTTTTTCCGGAAATTCCCGGAATTCCGGAAATTCACATAAAACACCTTTAATTTTTCCAGGAATTTCCGGATGTTTTTTTGATATTAATTTGAAAAAAAATTAATATATTTTTACATAAAATTTTACATACGACAACTTTTGCGTTTAAACAAATATGTTTTCTATAATTAAAATTTTTACAAGATCGATTTTTGTAACAATTTTTTTTCTTCATTTTTTTTTGCTTTTTAATTAATTCAAACTTTTTCGAATATTAGAAATTCCTTTTTGTAAAAAATTAATTAGAATAAATTCCGTTTTAAAATAATCTAATTTCCGTTTATCAGTTAAATGCGATCAATTTTTAATAAAACAATTTACCGGGATTTTCCGGGATTATCAAAGAAAAAAGATTTCCGGGATTTTCATAAAGTCAAATACTCATCTATGATTTTGGCAAGTTATGTGTAACAAAGCTATAGTTGTCCTCAATCAAATTAATTTTAATTAAATGGTCCAATCAAATTAATTGTAACTAAATGGTACAATCAAATTAATTTTAATTAAATGGTCCAGACGAACTATTATAGCTAAGACCATTATAACTAAGCTTATATTTTCAACATTTTTAATTTTATTTTCAGTGACTAGCTCGTTAATGGATTGATCATAAAAAGGATGCTCCTCTTATCCCCCCCTTCCTTTCTTGTCACAACAACATAACTCTTTGGTAACAAGTCCCGTACGAGTTGCATAAGTAAGTTTATGTTGATGTGTTTTCCGAGACAGAAGTGTCTTTTAATTATTTAGCTACTACTTTAGAGATAAGATGATATTTTAGAAATTCTACTGGAGATAAAAGACTTGTTAAAGGTTTTGTAGTGAATATAAACAATTATAAGAGAAAAAACTATTACCTATATGTGAGCAAGCCACGAATTAAATGAGAAACTTAAAAAGCTCTGATCTGCGAGTTTTAAATTTTTCTATACATGCAAAAAAATAATGCATTGAGTAAAATAACATTAAGGGGAAATGCGAATTATATTCCATTATTGTACATCTTCTCCGCCGTAACAATATTTTCCAAATTTGCATTTGTTATTGAACAACAAATACAAGTGGTACCTTATTAAATTTCATTGTCCAAAAAGTTCTTTTATTATTAACTACAAGCTTACATTTGATATGCTTCAATATATTACGAACTCTCATTTAACAATTTCTTAATTACATGTTGTGTTCCTGAGTTAAGTGTTACAATTTCAACAGCCTTATTATTAGGCCGTAAAGCAGTAATAACCCTAAACCTGACACTGACCACACTCCTTATTGCTATTTTTCATCAATATCATTGGAGTCTTTACATGTAGAAATTTTGTTATTAAATTTATAGTAAATGAAAATAAATAGAAAAAATAAACCATACAAAATAAGGGATTCTGGTAAAAAAGTTTTGATAAAGTTTTGAATTAGTAAAGTGTAAAAAAAAAAGTCTGACATTAGCACTAATAAAAAAATCATAACCTAACAGCACAGCACATATTTTTTCCGTTTCATTTTTTCCAATAAAGTTTTAAAAATAAATTTTTTAATTGAATCTTTAGTCACTGTTGAGCTGCTTTAAGCTATAATATGTAATTTAAAATTAAGGCTAATTAGTTAAAAATACAAATAAACATATTATTGAAGTAAATAAAACATATTATTGAAGTAAATAAACCTCAAAATAATGCTTTTCTACTATATTAAAACCTTAGTTAAAATCAAGAGTTTCAGAGAAAACATATGTAATAAGAATCTTTTTATATACCGTCTCCTAAAGTTTTTATTTTTTAAATCGTTTTATCTCAAAACAAAAAAATGTGGAAATAGAACAATATAATTCTAGCCTTGCGATTAATAAAAGTTGCACTTAATGTGATATATTACCAAAAAATTGATTATCTAAAAGAAAATATAATTTTGTCACAGTGGTTTAATCTAAAACTATCAAATAAAAGATATTTGTTTTTTCTAATTCCAAAATAAATACATCACTGTATATTTCGAAATGCAAACGTCACTGTATATTGGTATTTATTTATTGCATTATTTTATTCTATAAATAGAGTGCAGATTCGTTAGAAATGGCGTTATTAGCTATCCTTGCTCCTGCTATTAGATGTGAATGGAATTTAACTCATTGGCATGAGGCGTTTCTTACTACTGTAAGCAATCATTTGTTTAGACTTGAACTATGCTTTTAATGAAAAGCTGCATACCAGTTACTTGTATATATTGCATCGTAATTTAGATAGTGTTTGTTGGGATGTTTGTAGCCACTTATTTTTGGGGTTTTGTAAGTGACAATTTTGGGAGAAGGAAGGTAAGCATAATATAAATGAATTAGTGAGAAGAAGAAGAACAGTACTAGTCCATTTTTTGTTATTTGCACTTTTTTTCATAATTTCATTTAACTTAAGTCGATCTCTACTAAATGTATTACAAAAAGTACTACAAAATGTACTACAAAAATAATACTAGCCCATCCTTCTTTCAATATTTTTTATAATGGACTTGTATTTTTTAAGATGGACTAAAATTATTTTACTATAACTGTTTAAAACTTAAACATTGATTATTTCGAAATAAAAATATTGGACTAGTACTTTTCTTTTTTTCACCGATTCAAATGTTTTGTTTATTTTTAACATTATTTTCTTAAACTTTTTATTTCTAAAAATTAAAATTTAAACTTTTTATTTTTAAAAATTAAAATTTCTAAAAATTAAATTTTTGTTTCTAAAAATTTCTATTTCAAAAGTATTTCAAAGAGTAGCAGGGTTAAAGACATAGTCCCCTATTTTTACATTTTATTAATATTTAATGAATAGTCCTGGTTTTATATCTTAGGCAATTATACTTGCTAGTTTTGGAATCTTTTCATTTGGAATGACCAGTTCGTTTTCTGTTAGCTACGTCATGATGATTACATTTAGAGGACTGGTTGGTGCCTCAATGGGAGGCGTCGTGCAGGGGTATGATTTTTTTCTCTTTATTATAATTACTCTAGTCAACAAAAAATTTAAGCAAATGCAAAAATAAAGTGCATTATGTTTTAAGATCAATTCAATTAATGTTCATATTTAGGATAAAATAATTTCTAAAATGTAATAAAATATGACTCACATTATTTCCAAAAGCTAACACGTGTTATGTGATTGAATATCAATAAAAGTAAAGCACTGTAACTTGTACAAAGTTTTAAAAAAAAAGTTTTATTTGCAAATAATTTATTTTTTTCCTCTTTTTTGATTAGATTATTACATATAAGTTTAATAAATAAAAAAATTCTTGTCTTCTTAGTAATAAATTGCTATAAAAATTAAAGTGATAAATAAGGCGAGAGAATACATTTAAAAAACACAATTTTAAGCAAATAAAACATGTACTTGAAAAAAAAAAAAAGAAATTACTATAAAAAATGTATTAAAAAATTAGACTTAAAAATTCTTTTTTAATTCTAGCAATCAACGCAAAAAATTTCATCCAAAAAAATCAAAACTAAAAGTTTAATTTTGTGAAAAAAATGGACATACAGCCTCCTGGTTCTCGGCTGACGCCTTGTTTTTAACTTGAACAGATTTATTTATATTTTTTACTTTAGCAGTTATAATATATTTATGTAAAAAGTTTTTTTTAATTAAAAATAGTTTTTTAAATAGTTTTAGGAAATAAAAAAAAAAAATAACTTTAATTAAAAATAATAAGAAATTTGTTATTATTATAATTGAACCGGTCATTTCGAAAAGGCCAAAACTATTAACAGTTAGTTTAAAAGTTACATTAAAAATTTCTGTATGATTTGTTTTTTTTATAATAAATAAAACTTGCATAAGTTTATGCATTCTCTATTTATAAATTCTTGTTTAATTTCTTTTGCACCGTAGACATTTTTATAATAAAAATCATTTTTTTGTTGAACTTGAAATGTTTTGATAAATGGACTTGTGTCCGCAGTTGTACAAAGCGGCCGGAAACTACTTTGAGCTGACCCGAGAAAACCGCTTTGACTGAGTGAAAGTATAATATTTCCTGACTCCAAAAATTTAAAATTTGAAATCCAACTATTTCGTCCGAGAAAATAAGTTAGATTTTAAGTTTTAACTATTTTGCACGATATGGCGAAATCAACTTTTACACTTTTACAGCATTCAAAAACATTCAAAAACTAATATTTATTATTCCAAACATACACGTATACATAACAAAGACAAATATGGTTATTTGGACTTAATTTATAACTCTTATTTAATGATTCTAACTTTCTATGAAACATAGGTGTGCCTCCAAGGTGCTAAAATTACACTTCATTAAAAAAATCTGGGAACCGGCAATGTACAGTAGACACCATCGATTTTTAACTTTTTTTTAGAAAAATCTATTGCTTGAAGCGGGAGTAACTTAAATAGACCATAAAACTATAATGTGCAAAATTTGAAAGTTCCATATCTTCTCGATTATATCTTATTTTAATTTAAATTTTCTACAGATAATTTACTATGAAACATAAACTTAGATGGGTCACAATTAATTAATTTTTAAAACGAATGTTGGTGTAAAACATTTTTCAGCATTTTTTTAATATATAATGGAACGTTAATAATTTATTTTTTAATTTTTATATTGTTTTAGGCATGTTTGGGTCCTGTAAAAAAGGGTCATTTTACATAAAAGCCATATAATTAAATAAACTTATGTAAATAAAACATTTATAAAAAAACATTTCTGTAAACGTTGCAACTTATTTGGCTTTAGAAGGATACTTAAAAACAACAATAAAATCATATTTTCTTGTTTTTAAGCTAAAATAAAACCTTTGCCTTTTTGCTGGAAAACTTTAATTTAGCTCAAAAAAAGATACGCTTCATCTGAAAAGTTTTAATTTTGTTTACATTTACTAATTTTTAATGACGCATTTCTTTACAATTCTACAAAAAAATCGCATTTTTAAAGCGGTTGATTTATGCTGATTTTTCAAACTTATTTTTAAAATAAGATAGCTTCTAGTTAACTTTAGAATTTTTTATTTTTGAGTTGAATCTTATGTTTTTATAAATTATCTACTCCAGCTTTAAGCAAACTAATACAAATAATTGCTGGTATCTAGTGTACAGTTTGAAAGCAGTTTTTCACATATCATCTGTGTACAAGAACTTTCAAAATGCCTAACTTTGAAAAAAATCATGAAGATTGTCGGAAATCTGTTTGTGTTATGTGCATGAAGAAGTGATCACGTGAGGTGACTCAATTCCTTGCTGAAATGATCTTCAAACACTACCATATAAATCTTGATTTTAGCAATACCAAAGTGTCAAGAGGTATTTGTGATTTGTCGAACAATTCTTAGGAGAAAAGATGAAGGAAAAGATGTTGCTCTTCCACTTTTGTTTGACTTCTCTTCAGTAAAAGTTAAGATTGCAACTGTCCTATTTGCCAAGTTGGTCATCTAAAGCTGAATGAGAATAAGCCTTCAAGGTGTTCCAAACTTTAGGAAGAAAATACTCCCCAATGGTGTGGTAATTGCTTGAGTCTTGTTGGAAGAGGTCTGCCACATCAGTGCACTCAACTAAAATTTAGAAAGAGTCTAAAACAGTTAGCTACAGCAGATCCTTATTGGCTGCAGAACAAATTGCAACTCAAGTAATCCCTTTCAAACTTTTAACTACTGTCAAATTTTCACACCCAAAAAGTAGTCAACCTCTCAGAGTTAAGCCAGGTATGAAAGTACACATATTGTGATATTTAAATTTGAACTAAAGATAATTAAAAATATTTACATTTTTTTAGGAAGCAAAAGCGCCAGAAACCCTTTTCCAGAACCAAGAATCAAAACTGAAGATCTTGTGCGGGTTCAGTTGAATACAGGATTGTCAAATCTAGGCATGAAGAAAATGGCATCAACCATTAACAGAGTCAGTGACACAGAGATTGTGTAGCCAAATTTTCTTGCTAAGTTTTAACCAGCATCAGAGTTTTTTCAGAAAGCAATGGCAACTCCACTGACTATGTGGTTGTGCATTGCATGGATCTTGCCCAACTTCTTAATGAAGCTCCTTTCTCAAACAATTTTCCAGACCCATATAGTCAGGTTAGGAATTGATGGTGGTGGAGGATTTCTCAAAGTGTCACTAATATATCATTGTACTGGATTCTCAGAGTGATTCAAGGTCACTACCACAACTTTTAACTGAGAGGATAGTTAAAGACAGCAGTGTCAAGCGCCAAATGCTTGTGGCTATTTCAGAGGGATTTCCAGAAAACTTTGAAAATGTGAGACAAATACTATCAAAGATCAATTTCAACTCAGTCAACTTTGTTATCTCATGTGACATGAAACTTGCCAACATTAAATGTGGAGTGCAAAACCACGCAATTTCTCATCCTTGATTATGGTGCAACATTAAATCAAAGCAACTCTCCCAATCAGGATCATTGAGAAAACTTGGTTCACTTGTTGCCTGCCATCAAAAGTTTGTTAAGTCTGGCAATGACATTAAGAAGGTAAAGTTTTTTGGCAATGTGGTCCATGCACCATTGCTGTCTGAATCTGAAAACAAACTCATCTTGGAACTTATACCCCCAGTGGAGGTCCATCTGCTTCTTGGTGTGGTTAATCACATGTACAAAGCCTTGACAGAAATTTGGACTTGTGCTTTCAGATGGCCCTCAGCTCCCCACATCCAACAAGAGTCATATCATGGTGGGCAGTTTGCACGGAATGCCTGCCACAAGCTACTGAACAATATAGACATCCTCCAAAAGATTGCAGAGTTAGAGTCTGCTTTTCAAGTTTTTGGAATCATTGATGCCCTTCCAAAGTTTAAGTTTGTGGTGACAGCATGTTTTGGAATGATCCTTGAGGATGATTTTGCAGAAAAAACTGTTCACTTCAAAGACTCATATCTGGCAATTAGGAACATCAGTGTGACCCCAAAGGTCAATGCTATTTTCTTCCATGTGAAGCAATTCATTGAGATGAAAAAGGCTCTATTGGGGATCTTTAGTGAGCAGACAGCAGAATCCATGCATTATCATTTTAGCTCACACTGGCAAAGGTACAAGCAAGATTGCAATCATCCAGAATATGCAAAGAGGCTTCTTTCTTGTGTTGTGGATTACAACAGCAAGCAATTGTAAAGAATCTAGTCTTTAGAAAAGTTTAATCTGAGAAACTTACTAGTTTCTTTTTTTATTTATGAGAATCCAAAGTAGGTACAGTGTTTTAAAGCAGAGTATCAAAAAAAAGTTTTCACAGAAAACTTGCTTTGCAGTTTCACATTTTTTGAAAGAATGGTTGTTTCAAATTTCTGTAAAATACCCATCTTTGTCTTTGAATAAAATGAGGAGTGGAATGAATCCTCAAAAAGTACCGACTAGCTTCTTTACAAAAAAAAAAAAAAAAAAAAAAAGGTCCTCAAAACAAAAATTTAACCCACTGAATAGCCGACTGCCGACTAAATTCATAAAAAAAATGAACTCAACTTGAAAATCAGCTTCTTTGGGGGAGTGTAACACCCCTCACACACACCCCTTCCCCTCCCCCTCACACACACCCTCCTCCTTAAATCGCCTCTGTACATTTGAAGTAATAAATATTAGTTTAAGAATGTTTTTAAATGCTGTAAAAATATAAAATTTGAAAAGTTGTCATTTCGCCCTACTATGCAAAAGGGTAAAAACTTAAAATCAAATTTATTTTCTCAGACAAAATAGTTGGATTTCAAATTTTACATTTTTGGAGTCAGGAAACATAGTATTTTCACCCAGTCAAAGCGGTTTTCATGGGTCAGCTCAAAGTAATTGTCAGCCATTTGTACAACAGTGTGTCCTTTTCGAAATGTTCAATAAATAAGAATTTTTTTTTTCGCTTGTATGCGTATAAATTACTCATGCTTACTAAACACCCCCTCACTCCCCTCCCCACCCATTGTGTTTCATTGACTTTTTTTAATCTAAGTTTGAAGAACAAGAAATGAAAACAAAAAGTTAATTTAGTTGACCATTGTTGTTATATTTTGTTGATGATTATTATTATTTTTTAACCTAAACAAATTTATTTATATCTTTTACTTTAGCAGTTATAATATATTTATATAAAAAAATATTTTTTTTGAACTACTATAAGAAATATTTTAAAAATTACAAAATAATGATTTTATTATGATGGTTAATAAAAATTTTTCTTTTAGGCTGGTTAACCACCCCTCACTCTTCCTTTAATAATGTTTTATATAACTTTCGGTAATCTAAAATTTAAAAACAAGAAATCTACCAAACTACATTACTTATTGAAAAAGTTTTATATTTTAAATTTAGAACAACATTACTGGTCGAATTTCTACCTCGAAAAACAAGAGGTCTTACTGTCAACTTAAGTTCGGTGAGATATATTTTTGGTTGCAATTTTTAATATTTCAAATATAAATATGCAGTTGTGATTTTTAAAACAAGGTTGGGGTTGGTTGCAGTCAACAGTGTTTAACCCCTTGTTTTTCAAATAAATAAAAAACGTTAAACCAAACAAAATGTCTTTGAATAAAATGTTCCGATCAAAATATCTCGATCAGAAAGCCAACTAAAGTGGCACACCGATATCCCGCCAACGCCTATGTTATAATTAGCCCTAATTTGGTTATAAATGCCGGCCTGTCAAACAATCTTAATGTTGTAGAATGTCTATGGAAGCGGCCGACGCAGGACTTTAAAGTTAAGAAACTTAAAGCTGAAGAAAAAAATGTATAGTTTCCTGCCATTTTGGCTTGACATATTCTGTGTGTGCATGTATGTATATATATATATATATATATATATATATATATATATATATATATATATATATATATATATATATATATATATATATATATATATATATATATATATTACTTATATTATGATAGTTTAATCTTATAATTTTTGGTTATTTACTCTAAATAGATGTTTTGGTCTTTTGGAACTTCTATTGAAATTTTATTAGCAATGTTTGTTATGCCAAGATACGGTTGGAGAATTCTTTTATTCATTTCTGCATGGCCATGTTTAATATTTGTTCTGCTGACATTAATAGTAAAGGTAACTATATAATTGTATTTTATGAATTTATAATCTCATATTTATTTTAAAAAGTTGCCTATTTGTTTAGTATCCTCCTGAAAGTGCACGGTTTCTTATGGCAAAAGGACGATCAGACGACGCATTAAGGATACTTAGCAAAGCTGCTGCTAATAATAAAAAAAAATTGCCAGAAGGAACATTAAAAGAGCCAGAACAAGTCAAGGTATCCGTAACGTTTGTTTCAATTTTTTTGTTTTTGTTTAGAGAGGATCAACTAAAAAAGCCTGAACTTAAATATTAAAGTTGAAAGGGAGAAGATTTTGATTCTGTTAAAAATATAATAATAATAAAAGAATTGTAAAATTGGTGTTTTAGGGGGCTCTGTAAAGCTCATAATCCAAGTTTTTTATATTTAGTTTAATATATTATATAAATTTTGCATATCTTTAGAATTGCCGACATGGAAGCATTTTAGCCATGTTTAGAAAAGGTTACTGGAAGTTGACTATCTTACTTTGGATTATTTGGTAATGCATAGCTAAATATTTATTGTATAGTTTTATTTTTTGTCTCTTAATTAATCCAGTGGAAGATTTTTTTGATCAGAATGTAAAAACATAGCTCTTTTCTATCAGAAATAACTTGCACACACTTTCTATCAGAAATAACGCAGACTTGCACACACAATATCTTTGTCTGTGAGTCTTCCTTCTAAAAATAAGTAATTATACAATGGGGTTTGATGACTTATTGTAAAGAACACATGACAATTTAATACCTTTTTTAAATTTAGTTAAAAAAAAATTTAGAACTTTTTATATTATATAGCTTCTTGTTTAGGTTCTCTTCTCACTTCAACATATATGGATTAGCGTTATTAACAACAGCACTATTTTCTGGAAATAATAAATGTTATGGTAAATTAATTTATGTAAATGTATTATTATAATAAATTAATTTATGTAAATGTATTATTGTAATACTTTAATTTATGCTAGAGTACCGTAACATGGGGTTAATAGTAAAATAGTAAAACGTTGCTATTTTAAATAATAAAACGTTACTTAACTGTTTAAAAGTTACAGATGTTTAATTAAACTTTTTAAAAATGGCCAAAATAACCTCGCTGGCCAAAGTGTTTTTCTTTTTTTTTTTCTTTTTTTTTTGGGGGGGGGGGGGATATGTAATACCGAAACACCCTGTGTTACGGTATTGAACTCGAAAGCCTGTGTCTAATATTATGAGTTTTTTTAAGATGTTTTTGTGTCTAGTTTTTTTTATTTCATCAAATAAATAAATTTTATTCAGTATTATTAAATTAGCAAAGGAACTGTGCATTAACTACGTCAACAATTGTTTGGCAATTATTACCTCCCCCTTTTCAACATCTTGTCAAACTTCCAGAGTTAAAATTACGTTAACATTGGATAACACCACCCCACTACCGCGCTTAATAACCAAATCATTTTTTATTGATTTATTAATTTTTTTTTTTTTCCTTTTCCTTAATTTATTTTCCGTTTAATAAAATTTTAATAACCTTTAAGAAAGATACTATTTTTGTATTTTATTTTTTTTAATTTAATATTAATATTTGTGCATGGAGCTAACTAAGGCTTGGCAAAAACCGGATAATTTCAAAAAACCGGTTTTCGTTTTTTTTTTTAAATTGTAAAACCGGGTAACCGGATTTTTATTATAAAAGCGTTGCTGTATAAATCTGATGTAATCTATAGAATTGATTTACTGGAATTAGATATGTAAAATAAAGAAAAATTTTTCTTTAAGCTAAAAATAAAAAGCTTAAAAAAAAAAGAAAAGCTTAAGCTAAAATAAAAAATGAAATTTTGCCATTAATTAAACTTTAATTTTTATCAATGTACATTATGTAATAACACAATGTACAGTAACATTAATATATCTTTTTATTCATTGTTAATTTAGTTCGAATCTAATGAACTTGGATAATCTTTTTTTTAAGCCTCTTTTTTCCTTTCCAATCCTTCTTTTTGTGGCAACTCAACTTTTTTCTATTTTCATTCTATTAATAACTGAATATACTATTGTCAACAGAAAATTATGCGTGTGATCTGTTTACAAAATATACTATGATTTATTATTTTTAAAGTAATACAAAAGTCAAAATAACAAAAGTAAACTTTTTGACAATGAATTTGTTTTCGTTGTTAAATTACTTTAATTTGAAATTGTTAAATTATTTTTATTTGATTGTATTGATTATTATAAACATTTTAAAATTTAAATAATGCTGAATAATTCTGTCAGTATGTAATCTATTAATAATTGGTAGAAAAAAAATATTGAAATAAAACAATTCGCAATATCAAAGAGCTTTATAAAATTATATATATTTTCACGATATTTATGCTTTTCACGTTTCTTATTAGCTTTCTTTCAACTTTATCTATTAAACTTCTCGTAAACGTCTCGTGTGTGCTTATTAATAGTTTTTTGAGGAATTCACCAAGTTAAATCAACCTCTAGGAGGAAGAAATGGATCGCCTCTGTAAAATCAAATCTAATTATTAAAAATGTATTAAACAAACTACTTCATACATCGGAATATCTACTAAAAATCATACATTAGAATATCTACTAAACATTATACATCAGAATATCTACATCACATCAAAATATATAACACTAGTTAAATTTTACTACGGGTAGACTTCCAAAGTAAGGAGATTCAGAAAATTCTTTTGTACTTTATCGAAACAACCCTTATGTAAATTGTTCCTTTGTTTTTTTTTTTGCTTGTCAAACAAAATTTTTTTTTAAGATTTTTTAAAGAGATTCGTCGATAATTGCGTAAAATTGTTTTTGTTATTCTTTACTTTAAAATAAAATAATAATATGTTTAAAGCTAGGTTTTAGAGATTTGTGATTAGTCCATCTGATTCTCCGAATTGAGATTCTCAAGATAGTATTGTTCATCCTGATATGTGGAGACAATAAGTAATAATATTACTTTTAAAATATAATATAAATACTTAATAACACTTTTGTTTCTGGTTGTTTTTTTCTTATATATAACTAACAAAAATACAATTGATGATTTAATGATCAGTTAATGATTAACAAAAAAAAAAAAAAAAACATTTATGAATTTATCCTAAAGAAAGAGACGTGAATTTCTTAATAAGTGGCTTTTCACAGTGCTCTGTGAATAATATAATTAGGTCTTCTTCGAGCTCCTTAATATATATAGAAAAAATTAAAAATAATAAGAAAAAACACATTTATATCTTATACAACATAAAAAAATGGAGCACACAAGTTGTCGACTTGTATCGACTTCGCAAATTTATACAATATAAATTATAAATATAGAAAAACTTCTTTTACCCAGTGGGCACAGATGTAAAAAAGACTTTTAAACGTCTTATACACGTTTTGGACGTCTTTTGAACGTTTTGGACGACTTTTGAATATATATATATATATATATATATATATATATATATATATATATATATATATATATATATATATATATATATATATATATATATATATATATATATATATATATATATATATATATATAATATATAATATATTCAAAAGACGTATAAGACTTTATACTAAACCTTTTATACTCATTAGGAGATGACAAACCACATCAATTAAATGACGGTTGCAAAGCACTAACTAGCGAAGATTATCTGCATTTTTTTTACGTACTTGCAGCAGATTTTCCAGGTAAAATATTATAACTACACATTTACATAAGCTGTCAAAATATCAATGCAAGTTGTTAAATGTAAATGTATCAACAAATAAAACTTCTAGGGGGAAGCGAGCAAAGAGGTGAGGAATTCAGAGCAGAGGAAGCCTAATATTTTTAATTAATAATTATTTTTAGTAAATATGTTATAACTGGACCCTCTAAAATATCGAAGATATTTTTAAAAAACTTTAAATTTTTTTATTTAATTCAAAACTTTTTAAGACTTACTAAATATAACTAACTAAAGGTCTAGTTTCTAGTTTCAAAGGTTTAGGTAAAGGTTATAACATAATGTTAGCACTAAAAATCAGTAATGAACATAGGTTTTTAGGTTCCGAGCAAAAGTTATAATATGGGACATCTAAATGGAACACAACCTAAAAATAATCAGTTTTTTACGCCCCTAAAATGTCTTTTAAAAAAAAACTATTCAAAAACTTGATTTTTTTTAGCGGTTATTATCACAGCATGTTTAGCTGACACCGTAGGAAGAAAATGGCTGCAAGCTGTAGGTTTTTTTGGGATGTCACTGTTCTTTATGCTTCTTTTTATTTGTACTGGAAGGTGAGTTACACTCTATTTAACTTTGAAATTAGTACCTCAATAAAAATTGAAAAAAATAATTATAATAAGTATATAAACAAACAATCCATTTTTTTACCTTTAAAATTACAAAAGCCTAACGTCTCAAGCATTATTGAGCATTATATATACCACGCGTCTTTTATCGAAGATTTTACACGTTTCTTTTTTTAAAACACCTTATGACGCTTTTTAAACGTATTTCGAGATGAACACAATTTAAAAAAAAAATTATTAACGGAAACTCTTTGTAAAACAATTTTTAAAACTCATGATTTAAATGAATTTCTTCATGATTCTTTAAAAAATTTTTATTTTAAAGCGTTCTGAAAAAAAGCTATAGCGTTATCAAGAACGTTTTTAGGGGGCATCCACAAAGTACGTACGCTGTAAAACCACTGATTTAGGACCCTCCCCTCTAGTACGAACCTGTACGCTTTCAATCACCCCCTCCCCTTCTGCGTACGTACGCTTTTTTTTTTTAAAGAAGCCCCTCCCCTTCTTTCCCAATGTATAAATAATTAAAACATTAAAAAGAAAAATAGATTGTCGCTCAATTTCTTTTTTCTCTACTCACTTTTTACAACTTTTTTTTCTAAAAAAAAATTATGACTGAAGTCAGAAAAAAAACTTAAAACTAATTAGTTAGACACGTGAAATTCGATGTTTTTAAAAAAAATAGAAATAAAATCAAGTTTACGAAAGATAGTCAAACCACGTACGTACTCACTGTCTTTAACTCCTCCTTATACGCGTTCGTACGCTTTTGGGAAACCCCCTCCCCATACCAGCGTACGTACTTTATGGATAGCTCCTTTTCAAAGAAAATATAGATAAAGGTAAAATGCGAAAATTTTTCAATGGGTAAAATGTGGTAATAAATAATTTTTTCTCCACCATAGTAATCCTGGCCTTGGATTACTCAAGTGGAGACTCCTGTGCCATATGGACGTGGAAGCCCCATGCCATGAGGATTCGGCTCTTTTTCCCCATTGTATAAAGGGGTCCTGGGGTGTAATCTTGAAAAAGTTTTTGGAATTCGAAATTGCTGTACATGAGTTGTAGGATTATTTTAGTGAAGGAAAAACAGTTTATTGAAAAAAATGTGAGCTTATTGCTGCCTAGACTAGGTTGTGATTTGAATAATAATTCTTTTTAATCATTTGTAGCAGACAGCAACCTCATTTCCTATTGTTAGTGTTAACTGTTTACAGTTTTAAAATTTTTCTGTAAATTAGCAAAAAAAGTGTTTTAAAGTGTATAAAATCGCTGAAAGGAAAACGAAGTTTAAACACGTCATTTTTAAGGAGTCGTTTTTTTTGTAACATAATTTTCCATAAAGTAACACGTAATTATTATAGTTTAAAATTACACACAAAAAAAAACTATTTAATGATATTGTTTTAAAACGTCATAAGTAATGCCAATAAAAGGTAATATTTTAGAAAAATTGGTAATCAATATTAAATATTCATTCTAAATCTAAATCAGTAAATTTTACTTATTTAAAGGTTATTTATAGTTATTTTTTTATGTTGTGTTTTTTGAAGCAATAACAAATTTCCAGATTATAATTGAATTAATGTCTAAATTGGAATTGATAGTATTTGTGTCGAAATTTTATAAATTCTTGCTGAATTTATTAAAAGCAATGAAAATTTTTCTCCGTTCCCGCACTCATTTACTCCCACCGAGGCCTGGTATTTTATTTTCCTATATTTAAAATATAGGAATTTGCTTTAAAATAAGGCAAAAAAATTTTAATACAAAATAAAATCCTGGAGAGCTTAAAAAAGTTCCTTGCTGAATCAACATTTTTAAGGTGGTACCCAGCCATTATTTCTATTTTCTTATATTTTACACATAATAAATAACTTTTATGAATTACTAGCATAATAGATAAAAATTTAAAACGTATTGCAAAAATTTTTAATTTACAAAAAAATAATTGCTGGCTCAGTTAACGTCCCAAAAACATAAATATCTCAAGATTGCATCAATATTAAAGGTTGGAATTTTGCACAATGCTAGTATACTAGTGTAGCTTGTGCCTGAACCAAAAATTAAAAAAAATTGTAAACAATCAAAAATGGCAGACTTAATAGTATAGAAAATTATAAACACTTATTTGATATAGTAATTGTAGTTAAGTTTAATTTTTTTAAATTTTTTTTTAGACTTTTTTTTTTTTTTGGCACTAAAAACATTAATAATGAACATATCCTGAAAATTTAAAGCTAAAATAATGTTTTTTTTTTAATTAAGATATCATTGTTTTCCTACAGCTACTCATAAAAAAAACAAAAATAGAAAAATCGGTTTTAAAATTATAAATCAAGTACACTACTTAGATAAATCATTAAAAATGATTTATATAAATCATTAAAAATGATTTATATAAATCATTAAAAATGATTTTCTGGTAGTTACTTTGAAATTGGTCCAAGTAAAAAAAACTCTGAATGGAGTTTTTTTTACTTGGACCAATTTCAAAGTAACTACCAGATTTAACATTAGGAGCATCAAATACAGAGGATAACTTAGCAAAACCGTCATTATAAGTAATGGTTGCAGAGTAAACAGCCATTTCAATAACAGCTTTAGAGGTGAATATAGTTTTAGGGAAACGGTTCCAAATTAATTGATTGAATGCTTCGTTTCCATTTTGAGTCATGCCGTGCAAACATTTTGTAAGCATATCAGTATTTGCTAGATCTTGAAATACTGGCTTGATCTTTTCCATAATGGCAACTGGTAAATTCACCTTTTTCTTGTATGTAGTTTGACAAGTTGCTTTATTAGACTGCCATTTACACCAGCTTTTTTCACCCTTGGTGCAAAATATATGACGATATTCTTCAGAAGTAAAATTAGTAGAATGATGAAGTGAAGCTATTACGGAGTTCCAGAATCATTTCCAAAAGACTATTTGAATTTTGTCGAATAGCCATTCCAACATAATTTTGCAAGATGTTGATTACTTTATCCGTCAGCCGACCTTTACCTGATATACCTTTTCCGTCAGATAGTTTTACCCGTCGTAATTCTTTTCTTTTAAGATGTAGTCGATTTCCTGTACGCTTCTGGTAATGCCCAATACATTCTAGTTTTATTGGAATAAGGTCATCGCCATAAAGTTTTTGTGCAATAACTGAGCTAAATGAAGTAGTGTCCCCATCGCCAAGATATTTAGAATAGCGAATGTTATATTTATTTATTGAAGAGCAAATAATCAGCTGACTTCATGGCACCAGCTGATTTAGTGTGGTTTACTTGGCAGGAATGATTAACTTTCCATTGCTCATATTTAAGTGTCCCTTTTTTTTCATCCCAAGTTGGACAACCTTTACAAAACTTAGATAATATAACAGTATCCAATAGCTTGTTAATGTCGTGAGACGTTGCCACCACTACACCGTTCAAAGAGGAATATCCTCTCCGTTGCCAGGTACCATCGATGGAAACACCGCAATCGATAACATCATTCATATTAGATACAGGTTTCAGTATTCTCCTAACTTCCAGCATTTTTCATACTTTGCTCAGCAACTGATTTATAAGCATCATAAAGTTTGCTATTAATACAGTCAAAACTAGGTTGTGATAGAGGTGGTGGCATGTTCATTATAAAGGTAAAAGTTAACATTGTATCTCTCCTTCTGCCAATCTCCCTGAATGCCATAACACTGCTTACATTAATTTCACAAGTATTTATACCAGGTTTATTGTTTTTGATAACAGGAGAAGAAAAAAATATCTTTAAAAGTAAGTATCTTATTAATATTATATTAAATATTAAATATAATCTTATTAATATTATATTAAATATTAAAAAAGTATCTTTAAAAGCATAACCACAGACCTTCCAACTCTCACGGTTTCACCGTGAGACTTACGGTTTTTTAACGAATCTTACGGTCTCACGGTTGATCCAAAATTCTAACGGTGAATTTTAAAAATTTTTCGAAGAATTTTTTTTAAAGTTTACTCTTAATATTTTGGCCTAAAATAATAACAAGATATATGCTGAAAAAGCTTGTGATTACATCAAAAAATAATAAATATTAAGTGAACAAAACAGATCATACAACCGGCTCCGACTAAATTTAAACATGAATTTTTTTTTATTATAAATCAAATCCGAATTTTTAAAAATAGCGTATTTTAAAAACCTTTGTTTTACTACAGAATTGATATTTTATGGTACCATATTTCAAAAATGATTATCCCCAACACTTTAGTTAAATGTTTTAAACTGCTACTAAAATTAGCTGAAATTGCTCTCATTATTCCCCACAGTAACGCTGAATTAGAACGATTGTTTAGTATTGTAAAAAAAACAAATGTCTTGAGAGATCAGCATTAAAGTTGGATGAGACATTATCAAGTATTTTAGCTATGAAAACAATGTTTCTCGAGGCTGCTATACCGTTTTTTCAATGGAAACCATCTGAACAGCTGCTAAAAACATCAAAAAAAGCAACAAAAATGTACAATGCTAAACATAATGAATAAATATTATTTATTTATTTATAAAGTATAACTTTTCATTCTATTTTAATTTTTCTTGTTTGAAAAAAAGCACTTTTTTTTTTTTAATTTTACGCTTCTCAAAGTTTTTGTGTAAATCGCAAGGTTTTTTCTAATGAATCTCAAGGTTTTAAAAAAAAAGATTGGAAGGTCTGCAACCACTACAAGAAATTAAAAAAAAAAAAAAAATGAAAATCCTAAACGTCTTGAATGATCATTCATCATGGAAAGCTTTGTACCACATATGTTACAATAAGCATACTTTTCAACTTTTCATTTGTTTAAAATGCATAAAAAATAAAAAATTCATCATTATCAAATGTTTTTTCAAGATTATTTGTCAGCTTTTTACTACTTGTAGAACTTGTTTCTGTGTTTTTATCAAATTGCTTATTGGTGTTATCGGAATTATTATACTGATTGCCATTAAACTTTCTTTTCCTTGGTCTTATTATTCTTTTTTTGTTTGCCATAATATACCTTTCAACCTTTAACTGTAATAGGTTAGATACAAAAATTAAAAATTAAAAGCACTATTTTGTCTGAATTCAAAAAGACAACATAGCAATGTTAAACCGTTAAAAATAACAATGTGACTTAGATTTATGGCATTTAGACCAATATAAACTATAAACATTAAAAAAAGAATAGTTACAGGCTTGGAATATTTAGCTTTTAGGAACTAACTAAAAAGATAAAACGGTTGCTATGGGCGTTGCTATGTGATTAAAAATAAGTTAAGTTGTTTAAGAAGAATATTCTTGATATTCTAAAATTATTTTAGAAAAAATATTTTTACTATTGAATTTTACAAGGTTCAATTGTCTAAATAAAATATTTTCAAATTTTTCTTTTTTTTTTTTCATTTTTTACCAAAATAATGGCTGGGTACCACCTTAAACTCGTAACAAACCTATAGCTAAACGCGGAATTAAACGATAAGATTCAATCAGGTAGTAGAGATTTTCTAATACTTTGATACTTATACCTACTATCGAGGTAATAATCGATTACTTTACCTAGATCGTGATTTTTATTGTGACTACGTTTTGATCGTTTCAAAAGTTGTTAAAATTTATTTAGTAACCTTTTAAAAAAGTAATCCATTTCGTTAAAAGCTTTTAAAGCTTATAAACTACATTTCAAAGTTATCTTTTTTCAACACAAAGGTTCTATTTTACTTGCCTCTGGATTAATTTTGCTATAAAGAATGTATCACGATTTTAAACGATTTTGGCTTCGTTCTCCCTCCAACTGGTGTCTAATATACCTAAAACTGTTGTTCAAAAATCATTTTTTTAATCATCATTTTTAAAAAATTAAAACTTTGTTGGCAAAACAAATTTCAGGCAATTATATTTCATTAACTATCTTTCATTATTTTATACTTCTCTTTCTCTTTTCTACAAATACTATAATGGGCACTGCTCGAAAGAGCTAGCGTCTCTTGTGCCGTCTACTAAAATTCATTCTCGTGTTAGTCGGCGTTCAATTAAGTCTCATCTTTTTTCTGTTACTGTTTCTAAGTGCTTCAAAAACTCTTATTTGTCTATTTTTTTCCTCGAACATCAGTTCTTTGGAATTCGCTTCCTTCATCTTGCTTTCCTGATTCATATAATTTGCAATCTTTTAAGTCGTCTGTTAATCGTTATCTTGCTCTACAATCTTCATCTTTTCTCTTCCAGTAACTTCCAACACTAATTAGTGGTTGCTTGCAGCCTTGTTGGAAGCGAAGATTTAAAAAAAAACAAAGCAAAAAAAAACTTAATTTTAAGGAATTTCAATAAAATTTAATATATTGGTTTAAGTTTTATAATTTAGCGAGAAATAAACCAAATGCTCATTTTCTACAAATACGATTTTAAAAGCCTGTTTACACTGAAAGTTTTTATTTTTATCGGTGACTGAAATAATTATTATCTAATTTTTAAAACTGAACCTTTTTTTTTTAGTTTTAAAATAAAGTTTTTGTTGATAACAAGTGGGAGGAGGATGGTGGTTAATAAGCTTAGGGTGGGTGGGAAAATTTTCCAAAAATTATTAAACGCTCCCTCCACTTCACCCACACCCCCTTTTTCTTAAGGATTCGAGAATACGCTATTAGTTTAAGCCATTAGTTTAAGCATTAGAAATTCTTTGCGACTATTTTGCACTCATGTCAGTATTAGTAAAATTGTTTGTCGCATTTTGGGAAGTTAGCCCTCATACACATTCCGAAGTCAAAATGTGTTGTTTGTTTTTGTGTAACTAGTTTAACACGTTTGCACATTAATAATTATAAGTTTGTACGTTAAACTTAGTTTAATGTTAAAAAATTCCACTTAGTTTACCTGTTGTTGTTTTTTTTGTAGCAATTTCAAAGCTTTTTCTGTCTGTAATTACCCAGTATTTTTTAAGTAAGAAAAAACTACGAAAACTGAAAAAAAGTGGTTTGAAAGAAAAATTTATACTGACACCACATACGTATTGCAAATATAAATTTATATCGAAGCTTGTTTTATTTTATGAATGTAAAACATTTTTTAGTCGAGCATGGACGACAGTTTTTTTGTTTGGTGGTCGTTGCTTTATTGCTGTTGCAGACATAGGAGGGTATATATACACGCCAGAGGTAAAATATTATATAAAAGTTTATAGTTTTATAATAAAACATTTGATATAACTTTGTAGATAAGTATTTGTTAAATTTCAGGTTTATCCAACAGAAATAAGAGGTATGGCGTTAGGATCGTGCTCGGGTATATCAAGAGTAGGGTGCATGTTGACTCCGTTCATAGCCCAGGTAAATATTTCTTTATAAACTCTTCGTATTCGTTAAGGTGGTCACCCAAGAAATAAGTTAAAGTTTGATCGAAATTAGAATAAACTTGTATTTTTACAACATATTTATTTTACATAAATACATATTTAACAGATTAACAAAAAAACAGCTTTCATATTTATATATAACTAGCAGTAAGCAACCCGTAATACGCGTTGTTAGTAAATAAAATAAAAAAAAAAACCGCGTATAGAAAAGCCTAGAAACTACTTTAAAATAGAAAAGCCTAGAAAATGACGTAACTCGACTAATAATATTAATATTAAATTAGCGTATTCATATTATCAGATTAGTAGTGACCCGTGATAATATAATTATATTATGAAAAACTAAGCTTTCAATAATTATCATAAAAATTATCATAATTATTTCAAAACATCATTTCTTAAACTTTAAATAATATTTGCAAAGGTTAAAATTATTTATTTAACCCCGTCCTTTTTCCTCCAAAAACAAAATTTTAAATCACTAGGTTAATATATTTTTTCAAATTTGTTAACTTTATCCAATTTTGTTAACTTTATCTGTAAATACTTTTTAATTGTTAACGTCTATTTATTCTTTGTAGACATTTTTTTATTGTTCATTGTAAATGAAAAGAGCTAATTTGTTTTATCATGATCGTTGTTGCGTAACCAGAAACTCTGATCAAACAGACAAAACACAACTAGGACCATCTTTAAAGTTCAATATTGCAGAATTAACTTCAATTCCAATGTTGATTGGCTCACAAAAATCATTTTTTCACAAGGACAGCATTTCCAAATTATTGAATTAAGAGCCAGTTTGGTTGATGTTCATTTTTAAAACGATAATGAAGGTGTGCGTTAGTTCTTTTCTTTTTTGAGACAAAATATTTCTTGTTACCTTTAGGCAGTCTACTTTTAAAAATATTACAGAGTAATATGAAAATTGAGCAAGTATTGAAAATATTGCTTTAAGCAACCTTTGCAATAGATTGAGTGTACATTAAAAATACAAATGATTATTAAACTTAGGACCAAAAAACAAGCTATTGAGTACTAATGCTGTTTTTTTTTTTCGAATTTTAAAGCAATTTATTTGGAAATGTTTTATTTATATATCAGTAGTTATAGCTTTGCTAAGGTCAAAATTATTTATTTTGTAGACATTTATTTTGGCATAAACCCAAACTATTAGTGCTAAAAGTTAAAATGTAGCATTAAAGTTTTTGCAGTTAAATGTTATTTGCTATTTTAAAAAAAAAAAAAAAATTTTTTTTGTTATTTTCGTTGAAATTGACTTTTTTGATTCCTGAATTGATTTCTTGGGATGCTACTATGATTTCTTGGAGTGCCGCAATAAACCAATTTTCAAATATTTAAACTATTTTATTGAAACTTATGATTTTATTGGTAGGTTCTTAGTCATAAAGATGTTTCTTGGACATTATCAATATATATATTTTTTGGCATCGTTGGTGCAATATGCTCTCTTTTGCTACCGATAGAAACAAAAGGCAGAGGTTTAGAAGAAATTAATATCGAATTAAGAGATTTACATAAAACACCACAAACTACCAACACGTCATAGTAATGATCTACTTTTAGTCAAGTTAAAATACAAACAAAAGAAAACCCGTATCTATTCGACAATCAAGGAAAATCAAATATACAGCATATATATATATATATATATATATATATATATATATATATATATATATATATATATATATATATATATATATATATATATATATATATATATATATATATATAAAATACTTATACTAGGTAATAGGCTTTTTTTATTTTAATTTTTGCTCGTTTTTGAAAAATCTAATGGAATTTTATCATATAACAAAATTTATTTTTTAAGAACTATTTGATCTATAAACAATTTTTGAGTGTTGAATAGTATTTTAGTGTTGAATAAGGGTTCAAATTTTTTTATTAAGGTACTTTTTATTAATGATCATATTTTGTAAGAATATTATTTTATAATTAAATTAAATAACAAATTACTAAAGAATATTTTCTATAAGCCGTATAACTCGCAATAAATTACAAAGTTCACATATATTCAAATATAACTTTTATTATTGTCATTTTATTATATCATATTTATATTTTTATTAACTCAATAATGCTAATTATGAAAATTATTGTCTGAATATGCTAGTAAAATGATTTACATAACTGTCCAATCCATTCATAAATAAAAACCAACATAACATAATAGATAATCTGTCTAAGTTTTGCATTGAGAAAGTTTTACTGAAATTTTTTTTAATATTTTGCGTGGCTTGGGAAGTGAACAGCTTCCACAAATATCTTGATAATCAGGTTTAGTGCACTTAATATGTTAGTTTACATGTATTTAACACTATTTAAACACATAATTTAATGTAAGCAAAATTCAAAATAGGCATGTTTACTTTGTTACGTAAAAATAATTGCAAATGGACAATATGTAACTTTATACTAGCATATATTATTCTAAGCATATATTTAACGTTGTGTTTGAAATGGACAATATGTAACTTTATACTAGCATATATTATTCTAAGCATATATTTAACTTTATACTAGCATATATTATTCTAAGCATATATTTAAAGTTGTGTTTGAAAGGCGGCATCGTTACTGTTAATTACACAAAAAAAAATATTGTACATTTATATAACATTTAATAAATGCTTACATAAACAAAACCGTAGATAAGTTAAAATACTTGACGGAGGTAAAAGGTCTACCTCTTCTCCTTAAAAAAAATCTAGTAGTAAAGCACAATTCATGCAAAAAAAAAAAAAACTTTTTGACTGGGTCGGGGGAGTTCTCTCAACTGCATACTTATCAACAGCCCAAATACGCCATCCATTCATCTGCGAATTTCGTTTTATATCTTGAAAATAAAAAAAAATGCAACATTTGTTTACGACCATTTAGCAAGCTCCGCTAACAAAGCTTTTTGCATCACATCTTCTTGAGTTTCATCGAAATCCCAGTCTTGAACACTCAACACACGCTTTCTTACAGTTTCTTCCATACTATCAAAAGCGCACGTCATTTTCCAATATTTATCAAGAGATTTTTCTAAAGCTAATAACTTGTTTTCGATCTCGTGGTCGGAGTGATATTTGTTTATTAAATGAGCATTAGATTTATTATTGTAATGTTTCTGTATATTGTTGAATGGTTCTGATTCAGTTAGATTTTCCATCGCCATATTAACGACTCCAATTTCTTCTGGTGCGACAGATTGTGGGTCACGGCTTATTAACTTTAAAAACTTCTTGATCATGAAGTCGACGATTTCGTACTTTTGATTTGTCATCGAAAGATCTTTGTTAACCGATGCGTAAGTTTCCATGACAATCGTTAAAAAAACATTCATGATATACATTACACCAAAAATCATGATTAAAGTAAACCACAAAGAGCCCAAAACAGGTTTTGCAGATACGATGTCCTTAAACTTAAAACTACCCAATAGCAACGACATCACTGACTCGGAGGCAGAAATGTAGTTACTATACTCTGGAAGATACGGAATAAACATCAAATAAGCCCACGCTGTAAATGACGTAAAAAATATAGCAAATATCAAAAAAAATGCAGCAAGAGGGCTAGCACTTTTTTTAAGAGTCAAAACAAAAAGGGAAATAGTTTTGTTATATTGAAGAATGCGAATAGACTTGATGCAAGTCAACAATACCAAAACTGACGTTAAGCCAGAAAAAAGTTGATCCCATTGCACAATTCTGTTGAAGCTCACAAATTTTTTTTGGTCTTCTTGAATGCTTTTAACAGCCTTCTTTACTAACATAACTCGTGAAAAAAAGACACCAGTCGTAATAAGCAATAGGATTATGAGGAAAAACTCATAAAGATTCCAAAATCCTGAAAATTATATGATTATATATCGTACATATCATACCATCAATTTATATGTGTGTGTGTGAATATATATGTGAGTGTAATTATGTACGTGTGTGTACATATATATATATATATATATATATATATATATATATATATATATATATATATATATATATATATATATATATATATATATATATATATATATATATATATATATATATATATATATATATATACATATATAAACACACACTAACCATATATTATACCACTTAAGTACTATAAATACCATAACCATACATGTGAGCCATGTATGGTTATGGTATTTATAGTACTTAAGTGGTATAAGTATTATAGCCACATGTGGGCCATATGTAGTATAAATACCATAGCTACACACGGCCCACATATATGCCATCCCATCAATCAACTGCGAGTATCATTTAATGGCACATGTTCCACATCAAATTTTCTTTGTTGGGAGATTTTAAAATGTGCATAACTTCATAATATGATGGGTTAGATTTAAGGTATAATTCAAAGCCTTAAAAAAACTAATAATTAATAGATAAATTAATAAATATATATCAATTAATATTATTATTATTAATAAACATAAATACCTCTGAAATACAATTTTTTCATTTTGTAAATTTTTTTTGCTTCTTTGTACATCGCAATAAGAAAAAAGAAAACAACAAATATTTGACACACTAGAGTTAAAGTTGCTGTTTCACCAGCAAACGTGTACAATCTAGCAATATGTATGCTACTAAAAAACTCCACAGCACTTGAAGGTGAGAACTCGAGTAACAAGTTAACAATGCCAAACAAATTTACTTGTGGATTATAAGTAGAAAACTCCAAGAACAAAGCACGTGTTCTTCCATCAATCCATTTGTTTTGATGAAGATCATTTATGACTTGGTGACTTTTTAAAGGATAATTACCCAAATCTGCGACATATCCTCCACCAGTATAAGTAGCCAAGTATCCTAAAATTTTTAAAACCTCATAAATTTTATTATGCTATAGATTTTAAAACTTAAAAATTTCTTAGAACCAATTGTTATAAAAAGTACATTAATACCTTAATGCTACATTAAATGAGGATTTGGCATGGGGCATCAATCATTTTTTTCTGATTTTATCAACAAACAAAAAAGCAGAAAAAAACGAAGAATGCCGATTATTGACAAATTTCAATACCTTTTCTACCTTCATTTTTTTCTTTAATTTATATATGAAGAATGAAAAATTCTTCATTTCATTTTCCTTTTTTTAAATTACGCTTAACAGGTAAAAGTTTATGTTATATACAATATCTTTTATATTACAAACTGGCAGGGTCATATGAACTGTATCTGCTATATTTTAATGAAGAAGAAAATATTTTATAAATATTTTGATGTCTACTTTTTTTTCCTTTCTATTCTTCAGTTTTATCTGTGTCATTGCAAATTGGTAGGATTATTTTTTATATTTAAGTTGAAATAATAAAACTTTATATAAAAATTTAAACACTCTTCTTTTTTATTGCATTCTTTTTTTCTTTCTATTTTGTTAGTTCTACCTAGATGTTCTTTATATTCTACCTGTTAATGTTGAAATATGACTTTAATTTTTCGGTATAAACTTTATAAATTTACCTTATTGATCTTTAGATGATATTTCAAATATAAACTTTTAAATTTACCTTATTGATCTTTAGATGATATTTCAGTAAAAAAAATTGACCTAAACACAATAAGAATAACTAAACGAAATTAAACAAAAAGAATTTAACTTCGAACTTCCGCCATGTAGTTTTTAAATCAAGCACCACAAAGTAATTATATTAACTTTCACAAATTGATTTAAGAATAATATTTAATTCATTGCAATTAAATCTTTTAATTAAGTAATTAATAGGTAAGAATAACTTTACTTATTGTCTTTGCAATTATTGTCTATTCTTTCAGATTTTGACTAATTTTAATACTGCTCTTTTTTTTATTATTATTTTTAATTTAATATTCTCTAATAATAGTGCTCTTCTATTTTTATGAGAACAAAATCTGAAAGAATAGACACAAAGAATTGCAAATTCAATTGCCCATTAATTAAATGATTTAAATGTTGTAAATACTAAAAGAACATGTAAAGGTTATCGCTAATTACTATAGATACCTTCTTAGCTTATTTACAAACTTTTTGATACCACAGTCAATAATGAGCCGTGTCAATAACGAGGTCAGTCAGTCGTGTCAATAACGAGGTCAGTTAGTCTTGTCAATAACGAGGCCAGTCAGTCTTATCAATAACGAGGTCAGTCAGTCTTGTCAATAACGAGGTCAGTCAGTCTTGTTAATAACGAGGCCAGTCAGTCGTGTCAACAACGAGGTCCAGACAGCTGTATAAAAATCAGTAGTATAAAATTTGCAAATATCAATAAAAAAATACTACACCAATAAACGGGTAGGTCTGAAGAACACTGGAAGTTTGGTATTGCCATGGATTTGAATACTTTGATTTTATTGTTTTATTAAGTAAAAGATTCCAACCAGGAGCATAATTTCCATTGTCTTCATTAAATATGGTGTACCAACTTTTGCATTGAGAAATTATCCTTTTGAAGTCAGGGTGGACAAGACAAGAATCTTTAAACAAATTTTGCAATAAGAAAGTTAAAAACTATTATTTGAAAACTATTTAATTGAATATATATATATATATATATATATATATATATATATATATATATATATATATATATATATATATATATATATATATATATATATATATATATATATATATAAACTTAAAAAAATATAAACTTAAATAAATATATAAACATGTATTAGCTTTTTTTACTTAAAAAATAATTTTAAAAGTGTTTTTGTTGTTTTTATTAAAAAAATAAAATTATTTTTATTACTTATTTTGTTGAATTTTATAAATTTTTAATCAAATTTTGAATTTTTTGTTTTTAATGTAAAACAAAAATAAAAAAAAGCATTAGATATCATAATATTGCGCAAACAAATCAATGGTTGAAAAGTAAAGTTAAAAGATAAATTTGTTCAGATATTTGAACATCTTGGTTCTGTTTATGCAAAAAATCATAACATTTTATAAATCATTTATGAAAAACCACAAATTGTTAGAATAGCTAAAAAAAAAAACAACCTTTTTCTACTCTTAATTGACGCAACCTTGCTCCACCAAATAAATGAGAAGAAAGATCTTTTGTGAATCCAGGTGCATTAGGATATCCATTATACAAGTGTGGACTAAACAAGGCATTCACAACAGTGCTGTTTAGCCATGGCCACACATCATTTAAAGACTTAATCTGTTATAAAAAACATTTTAAAAAATTTTAAGATTAAAAATGTTTAAAAAATTCTTTTTGTTTCATTTTTACAATTTGAGTAAACAAGGAAAAGATTGAATAAAAATTTCTTACATCTCTAAAACCAGGTCCTAAATCAGATTCTTGTATAAATATGTTATCTAAACTTTTTTGAACCATGTATGATCTAGAATCCATAAATGAGTATGTGACTTGGCATAGAGCAATTACAAACATAACGTAGATAACAAAATCTCGCATCATGTCATACATTTTTATTTCCTTCAGTCTAAAATTTTATTTCACAGTTTAATTTAAAACTTTTTATTTTAGATTCAGTAAATAAAAAAAGTTTATTTAGTTCATTTATCGCATATTAATTAGATGTTTTTTTTCAAACATAAAAAAGTAAACATTTTTGACTTTGCGTGATAGGAAAACCTTTTCTCTACAGTCAACATGACAATAACAAGTTTACTTTATGTACTGTTTTTACTAATTTAGATTTATCACAGGAATACAAAAAACATAACGGAAACTTTTGTTAAAAAAAAAATTAGACACAAACATTTTATTCAATTTTGGTTCTATTTTCTTTTTAGCCAACTGTTTTTCATGATTATTTTTTAGTTTATATATTAACATTTTAATATCTTATTAAAGGTCACATAAACTTGCTTATGATGTTTATTGATATTTAAAGCTTTTTAAATATTTTGATAAGATCTAAAAGATACACAGAAATTGTTCTAAATTATTGTGGTGTAACAAGAGAATTGGGTGGCCTTTGGAAAAAATAAGAAAATCGGGTGGCCTTTGGAAAAAACAAGAAAATCAAGTGGCCTTTGAAAAAAACAAAAGAATTGGGTGGTCTTTGGAAAAAACAAGAGAATTGGGTGGTCTTTGGAAAAGTAATCTTTACTAATAAGAGCAGCATTAAAGGCAAAGCAATGTTCTTGTTAAAAGATTTAGTTCTGAAATATATAGTAATTGTTTTGTTGTACTGAAGATGACAGCAGTGAGATTGTTGGTTTTCATAGAGAGATGCTAGAGAACTAAATGGTTTCATCAGGAACCATGTTGATTGATGGAAACGAATAATCGAAGTGAAAAAAAAAATGGCTTGTGCACATACAGTAAAAGTATTGATAAAAGAAAGCAAAGTAAAAGTGATGAAAGAAAGCAAAGTAGATTTATAACCCATTGGTTTGCTCAATCACCAGATTTGAATACAGTCAAATCTATTTAAGCTTGAATGGACAAAGAACTAAACGAAATTTGCAACAATCTTTTTAAATTGAAGTATAAAAGATGGGGTTGCTTGAAAAAAAACATGTGTGTGTGTGTGGGGGGTGGGGGGGGGGCTAGTTACTCATTTTGATGTTTATTTTTGTTGCATCAACTATATTATCACATATTATAATAGTGTTTGCATTGATAACTTGTTTTATTATGTTAAACGTTTTTATTTTCAACTTTAAGTTTTCGGTTCTCCAAGATAAAAGATTTTCTCAAAGAAACTTTTTTTCACAAATAAAAAATTAGTAATATCTTTTTTAGTTTCTATTGTGACAAAACTGCGAGATAAAAATGAGAAAGTGAAAGTAAACTGTGATATAAAAATGAGAAAGTGAAAGTAAACTGTGAGATAAAAATGAGAAAGTGGAAGTAAACTGCAAGATAAAAATGAGAAAGTGAAAGTAAACTGCTAGATAAAACTATTATACAATACATTCAACTTGTAAAACTGTAAAAAAAATTAAAAATAAAACTAGATGCTTTCATCTCAAAAATTTCTTTATTCATACTTGGTGTAGTCAAGGTGAATACAAATGATTGGAATTCCCAAGTTTATTTACATGATTTGGTCAGTGTCCAAACAAAAGCTAAAGCATAATTTCTTTTGAGTCAAGTTTTTCTAATTTTTAACGAAACTTTTCTTTATTTTTAATAAATTTTCCAACATTTTAACTAATTTTAATAAAAGATATAAAAAGCACCATTTTGGAATCTTTAGATTGATATCATTCATTAGTGTTAAATTAATCTAAGTTCAATTATTTTGTAAATAATTGAACTTGGTTTAAACCTTATTCCACTTTAGATCCTAGTTCTGATCTATTCTGTTGCATATTAATTTAATATATTTGTCAAAATACCACATTTCCATCAAATATCATACAATATTTATGAATATCGATTAAGAAAGAGCTTTAAATTATAAAACACTGTGATTGACAGACAATAAATAGACCTTTCAGAACCTTCCATAACAGATCATTTTATTAAACTACCATGTTCATTTAACCTAAAAAATAAACTTATTTTAAGTTTTAATCTAGTCAAACATTTTTTTTTAATTTAATCTTCAGTTTGAGTTTTTTTAGCCCATGAACATTTTATATAATGTCGCTTTAAATATTCTCCTTAAGTCGAAAAATTCCTGATAATTATATTGCTGATAAATACATTTCATTAATATATATATATATATATATATATATATATATATATATATATATATATATATATATATATATATATATATATATATATATATATATCCAAAATAACATGTTTAATTATTACTTATTCAGAAATAAACTCCAGCAAAAACTTTAAACTTCTGTCATAATTTGGATCAGATTGTTTGATGGAATTATGCTTTGGTCAGCAAAGTATCTTATAGATACAGTAATATTTTAAAACCAACTTAATCATTTCGAGTAAACATACATCCTAAATTTACAAAATTGAAGTCTGTGCAATAAACAACTTTTTGTCTTCAAGAATATATAGCCTCAAATTCTTAATCACATTTTTGGAAGAAAAAAAAAGCAACTGAAAAAGCTATCAATGAAAAATGAAAATTTAATAACATTTAATCTTCGATTTAAAAAATTACAATGATTATTATGCACTCTGTAATATTATGTTACATATAACTTTGAAATACCAGTGTCAGTTTAACTAATCTAATTAACTTCAAATAATTGATAGCATATTTTTTAAATAGAAAATAAAAAAAACTTGAATTGTTAACTTTGTATCAAACAAAGAAAACAATCAAACTGAATCAACCAATGAAAGCAATAAAACTGAATCAACTATTTGTAAACTATTGTAGCTATTGAGCTGAAATCAACTCAAAATCCATTTCATAAAACCGTTTAGAAACTTAAAGAAACAAAAATTTTTTTAGGTTTTGTGATATTCTAGTTACTTTTTCTTATTTTTAAATTATTTTTTTTTAATTACTAAACTGTTTTGAAACTGCTATCTACTTTTTTTAAATTTTCTTTATCATAAATATTTTGCTTTTCAGTAAAATTTCTTTTATAATTAACTAACAACTTTCAACAACACTGCTTTCAATAACTCTGCTGCTCTAGGCAATTTGAAAGATTAGCTTGCTCAGGTACCATTTTGAAGCCACTTTGCTACTCCAAGAAGTCTCCTAGAAAAGAAACCTCTCGGAAAGAAAGAGATTGCTTATTTATCAGGTCTAGGTATTGTAGGGATATCATGCTTTTTAACATTTGAAAAAAAGTTTTTTTTATAAGTATTCCTCTATATACAAATCTGAGCTCAAAGTCTTAGAGTATGGTCCTTTTCAAACCACAGGAGCAGATTGCTTGCCATACAAACCACAGGAGCAGATTGCTTGCCATACAAACCACAGGAGCAGATTGCTTGCCATACAAACCACAGGAGCAGATTATTTTTTGAGCAGATTGCTTTTTTGATGATTGACAGAAGCATTTTGCTTGCCAGATTGCTTGCCATACAAGGAACTTGGGAGCTGTTTTCCCAGTTTGAATATACTTGAATTTTTTATTATTTTAGAGTTTATTGCAGAAAAAAGACCTTTAATAACTAAAAATTAAAGAAGTGTATTTTTTTGAGAATGTTTTTATAAAATAACTATTATTTTTGAAATTTTTATATAATTTCGCTTCTTTTGAGACCCAACATGACATACTTTTTAAAAACTTTTTTTTTTCAAATATTAAGGACACTAAATTCAATAAAATTTTGAAAAAATTTAACTGAGTTGCTTATGAGAACCACAAGCAATGTATATATATATATATATATATATATACATATATATATATATATATATATATATATATATATATATATATATATATATATATATATATATATATATATATACAAACTGTAAAAAAATAATAAATATGACAAAAAACTATTAAAAAAAACTATTAAAATATAAAAAACTCTAATACCTGTAAGCTCTTAGTTGGGCAATCTTTTCTTTTGAAGGAGGCTGAAAACGAATAATATTTTGTCTTTGTCTGCTTTCATTATTATCAGGATCTAAAAGTATTATATATAAAGTTTTATTTATATGTATGTAAACTTGTGCAAAGGAAAAGAGAAAAAAATGAAAAAATAATTTAAAAAAATGAAAAAAAAAAATGATAAAGATTTCTTTATTTAAAAAAAATCTTTCTAACAAAACTTTTATTTTTATTAAAAAAAAAAAAAAAAACAATTTAGGTTACAACTTTTATTTTAACAAAAGAAATAAAAACAAATTTTACAAATTAAAAAAAACCTCGTTCCCGTCTGTTATTGATATATTCTTCATCAATTTGCTTTTTATTGCCTTCATATTCTTCTTCTTCATCGTCCACAGGTTTCTTGACAATAAGAGCAATGAACAATGCTAAACCAAATATTTTTATGGGCTGAGAAACACAAATATCTTGAAATAAAGTAAGAAAAAGAGTGCTGAGCCATTGAGCAGATTTTTCTTTTCCAAATGTAAATCCATAGAGAACAACAAAAAATGCTGAAGTAAATGATACTAAAACTAAAAGAAGCCAAGAAAAATACTTCATCCACCAAGGGAGCTTGTTCTGCTTTTTCAGTTTTTTCTCTTTCTCCAAACGAGACTTCTCTTGTGTCAAAGTCTCTAATTTTAATCCAATATCAGTGTCACCTTAATAAAAAATAATAAATAATAACAAAAATATAACAAAAATTGATTTTAAAAAATTAATAAATAACAATCAGTTTATAATTGCAATTTATGTTAATCAATATTGCACCAGTTCTATGCAATATTAGTTAATTTGTTTTGAATCATTTTTAACTTTAATCATATTTTAACTTATAGTAACCAATATTTCATAAGTTTATCATTATTGTAATAATTATCATTATGATAGGAGTTTATCCAAGTAACATAAACTAATTTGAATTAAATAAGTATTAAATGCTTTTAATTTCAATTTATAAGTATCTTTTTAATCATATTTTAACTTATATAAGTGATACTTATATAATATAAGTATCACTTTAATCATATTTTAACTTATAGTAACCAATATTTCATAAGTTTATCATTATTGTAATAATTATCATTATGATAGGAGTTTATCCAAGTAACATAAACTAATTTGAATTAAATAAGTATTAAATGCTTTTAATTTCAATTTATAAGTATTGCAGTCTGTATTTATAAGTATTGCAATATTATTGCAACGATTATTATTATTACATGAGTTTATCCATAAACATTAGTTAACTTACATTAATTATCTCATCACTTTAACTTCAGATGATAAGTTTTTACTATTATAAGTCAATTGAAATATTAAATTTAATAAAATTATTTCATCAGTGTAATTTTATCAGTTGATCAGGTTTATGTAACTATAGTAACAGAGTAGTAACAGCAAATTGGTATTGCATCACATTTCTAAGATAATCAGTAGTTTATTTCTTTAAAAATTGCAGCAAGTAGTACTATAGCAATAAATAATCATCATTGTATCAAAACTGCATTTTAATTAAAACCAAAACTTACTTATAGTTGTTTCATTCATAATATGTACACGACTTCCTGTTGGTGAACCACTTAATGCACTTATTAAATTGATAAAATTATTTGGTTTTGATTGTTTACAACAGAAAAATAACTCATAAAGCCACCAATGCCGTTTCAGTTTTTTTAATGCCATTTCTTCTGGCGTTGGTTTAGGCCCTACATTTCTAAACACACCTAAAAAAAATTTTTTTTGTCAAAACGTAGTAAATATAATACATTGTAGCAATGTAGTAGAACACTTGTCTTAAATGTTGTACAAACCTCATTACAACCCTGGTAGTTTTACTAAACATATTAGATCAGCTGTCAAGGATTGTGATCTGTCAAGGATTGTGATCTGTCAAGGATTGTAATCTGTCATAGATTGTGATCTGTCAAGGATTGTGATCAATCAAGGATGGTGATCTGTCAAGGATAGCGTTAAAGCCTCAAGACATTTTGATTGGAGTAATAATAAGGTAAGAAAAAGTTTTAAGGTCAACCAAAAAGTTGAAGAGAGGTTGAGAGAAGATGTATCAAAAAAAATTGGAAAGATAAACTAACAATATATATATATATATATATATATATATATATATATATATTATATATATATATATATATATATATATATATATATATATATATAGTTAAGTATTAAAAAATATCTAAAGGGGGCCAGCACAGTCAAGGAGGCAACTCATTTTTTTAATTTTATTTTTAAATCTTTTTATGCAAAACTCAAAAACAAGAAACCTTGTTAGACAAGGGTGTTGTGCAAAGAAACAGGTTGAATGGTATTTCAAGACACTTAGGGTGAACTTGAAGTTCGGACAACTTTAATGTGAGCTGAAAGTTCTTCCAATAGTAAACTACCACATTTTTTTTCTCCATGCAGTGACCTTGTTCATCAAGGCTTGTATTTCAGAATCATATGGTTACAACAGGATTGTAAGAGCAATTTCATAAAATAAAAATGAGCCTCCTTGATTGTAGTAGCCCCTGCGTACATGAGAAAACAAATACAGTAAAAAACTAAACGACAAAGTGTTTTACTACAAAAATTGTTTACAAAAGTAATCAAGACTACTAAACACAACAATGACTGATTATATTGCACAAATTGTTAAAGTAAATACCTGAACAAATTGCATTATCTTAATCAATTAATCAGATTAAATGTAATTAATTGTCTTGCTTATCTCAAAATCTTCATAATTAGTTAATAGTTATTATTATTCTATATAATAATTATTATTCTTTATAAATAGCTTGCATATCATCTCTATAATTTAAGATAAGTAATTACTTTTAAAGATACAATTGTTTATAAGTAATTTATTACTTAACAATAATATTATTAAAATTATCATTATAATGTTATTTATGAATTATCTTAAAAAAAATTATAATAAAATTTAACTTAAGTAATAATAACATAAAAAATATTATATATTTACATTAGCTTAGTTTAGACTTTTATAAGGTTAAGTAAAATTGTTGTTTTATATTTACAACAACTACATTCAATAAAATACTTACCAACAATGAGAATGTTTACTGGAAAAATAATCAAACTTGTAATAACAGCTATTCCAATTTGTCTTGGATTAAATGAAAGTGGACCAACCTGTATTGATTCTGACGACTCTCCTCCTACTTGATAAAACATTGCATTTGTTAGCATTGTGCAATAGAGAAGCGTCAGACAACAGGATAATCTTTGTACTCTAGTAAATCTTGATTTAGGTGGGCGAATAAAGACACTAAACCAAATATGGTTATCTGAAATATTCTTTTGAGATGTTGAAAAAAACAAATGATTAAAGGTTGTCATATCCTCAGGTCCAGCTACTGGAAGTATTCGTTCAAGTGAACCATTACCAGCTTCAACAGCAATTAAATTGTCATTTATAAAAAGATACTTTCTGTCAGTATTTAAGTCATGAACCATAACTTGACTTAAATACCAGGAAGGACTTTTGCCTAAAGTTTAATAATTATGATATAATTAAAACATGTACATGCACGCACACAAATATTTAAATATTCCAAAATAAAATACGTAAATATGTATATATATATATATATATATATATATATATATATATATATATATATATATATATATATATATATATTGAGTATTAATATGGAATATTTTTCCATATATATATATATATATATATATATATATATATATATATATATATATATATATATATATATATATATATATATATATATATATATATATATATATATATATATATATATTTATATATATATATATATATATATATATATTATATATATATATATATATATTGAGTATTAATATGGAATATTTTTCCATATATATATATATATATATATATATATATATATATATATATATATATATATTGAGTATTAATAAATAATTTTCAAGATAAAATTTTTTTTGATAATATTAAAATCACAATAGTCACCCAAAAAAAATTTTCACAAAATAATTAAATTTGCATGAAATTTTTAATTTTATTATGAACAATTTTAGAGAAGAACTCATTTTAAATGCAACAAAATGATACATTTTGCAGCATTTAGTTTATAATTGACTTGCCAAAAAAAAAAAGCTAAATAATAATATTAATATAAATGTAAACCAATATTATAAATAATTTAATTAACTTAAAAGTTTTTCTTTGTAGCCTTCTTTAAAATCTGATGCCGGTTCCTTTGAACTATCTATAACACAGATACATATATTTATGAAAAATATCATTCATGCTTCAACAACCATTATTATTAATAATTACTAAAATGTATCATATATGTGTTGTGTTATATAATAAAATACTTGAAAAGTATCCAGAAGCCTGTCTTCATTTGTGTGTTCTCTTAATGAAGTCTTGAATTAACTTGATTCTGCATGGTCATTAATAACTGCAAGTGTTCTTACACACTTTGTGAGTTAAAAACTGGAAAATTTCTTCCTTTTTACATGCTTTTTTTAATTGAATTCATGTTCCCAAGGCCGAGTGGACTACTTTAGTCAAGGAAACTACTTCTTACATTGGTTATAACCCTCTCAACTCTCTAACTTTGAAACAATTTTTGGAGTTAAAGAGTTTAACGAGAGTTGTGACCAATAGAACCAGGTTGATGTACATAAAACATATAACATATTTCATAACTATTCTTTTTTATAAATTAAAAAAAACTTTATAGCTATCGAATTTAACTGAAAGCCGAATTTCTATTTCAACTTTGGTAAAATCAAAGTCGAAGTCAACTTCGCCTTTCAGTAAACTTCGTAATCCGAATTTTAGCAAATATTTGCCGCTCCTTATATGCACTTGCCTTTTTAGAGTTTTAATAATATCTTGATCAAGATATTATAAATGTCAACAGCCTACAGCTTTATCGGTCTGACTTCAATTCCAAATCTGGTCATAATAGGAATCCAGTTGTTACCAGACTTAACTGAAGGCAAACTTTAGCATGATTCTGAAATATCTTTTTTTAGAACATAGCTGAAAGTAAATTAAGTTAGTCATATTTAGTTTGATTATCTGTGCTTGAATAGTATTATTACTAATGGTTACTATGGTTACTTTCTTTTTTCCTATTTTTATTTTTATATATTTGAATGTTCCTGAGCTCTGTTACATTTTTAAAAAATCTATTGTCTGCGTTTCCCAAATAAATGATTGCGAAAATTTCTCAAAAAACATTGTCTTTCTTCTTAACCTCATCATATTTATTTCTATACCTTTAAATCAAGTATGTTTTTTAAATAGAAAAAAAAACTTTTTATTTAAAATGACGGACTCCTTAGTTTTCTAGGTGATATTGGTCTTGACAGTTTGCTTAGCCATGATAAAAGTATCATTAAACCCAACCAAACCCATACTTTGACACACTCCCCCAAAATACAGACACCAGTGATTAACTACATGGTATTCCCTCTATCGATAATTGATTTCAAAGAGGAAGATTTCAGATTTGCACACCACATCAGCACAGCAAACCTGAAACAAAATACATCTTTCGAGAAGCAATTGAAAAACCAACTTTGATGTTGGTCTGTGTGGTACTAAAAGTTAGCATTATAAAAGAAACAAATAAATAAGCTGAAAATAGCTGAAAACAGCTAGCTATCCATATATCAGGTGTTTTTGTAAAGGTTAAGCACACAGTCAAAATATTTTCAAAAAATGAAAGCATCTAATTACAGCTATATTATACATCAAAATATTTTTTTGCTCAGGGAAATCCATTTCTAACATAAATTTTTTTTCAGATTTTGCTGCTCAGTGAATTTATTTATAACATTAAAAATTGAGTTTTGACTACTCTGGCGGACGCACTTTATGGCTTTTAGGGTCAACTTGTTTTTCACATCCTATACATTAAAATATTGATTGGTAAATCCATACCTAATATCTGAATCAAGTTTAAATTAACCATTCTTACGAACATGCTTATAGCCAGCTACATGATTTTTAGGATCAACTTGACGCATGCTGATTTGACATGCATGTTGATTGCAAATGACTAAAAAATTCAATATATGAGCATTGGCTTTTGACTATTTGCCTATGTAGTAGTACTTTCTTTTTATGTAATTTTCACTGTTTGTAGAAAACCTATCATGGGCAAAACTCTAGAAAAGAAACTTAAAGCAAAAAAAAAGGTTTCTAGAAGCCTTCAACTCATCATCAATATCTATTCTTCATGATTTAATGTGACACTAAATTAATTTAAAAAATCAAAACTGATGGATGTTCATTATATTGGATTAAATTGATAGAATTAAATATTAAAAAAAAAATAATAATCTATTAATAAGTCATTAATAGATATATTAGATAAAATATTATTTTTTATTGTTGATGCTTTATTTAAAAAGACTATAAATAAACTCATAAATGTTATAGCCTATCTTGTTTTTTATATTATGTAATGACAAATAATTTTGTTACAATATACAAAACTAGATATTTTGAGAAATTAATAATAATTAGTAATGAATTAGGGTTGAAAAATAAAAACATTTTTTTCTTTACATATTTTTAATAAAACCAGAAAAATCGTGGATTTTAAAAAAAAAAATATATATATATATTTAATTCAAAATTCAATTTTGAACTTCACTAGATACATTATTTATCAAACTTAATTGTTCTCCATAAAATAATTGCATTTATTTTATGGAACTAAACTCCATAAAATAAATGAACAAAAATCAAAATAGCAATTCTTTTTATAGCATCATGGTTGAGTTTTAAAAACTTTGAAGAATAAGAATAGTTGCGATATTTAATTGTCGAGTTTTTATTCTAGGGATTGTCCATAAAGTGTCACACTGAGTTTTCCCAATAAATAGAAGTAGGAGATTATTAGTTTTTTTGTGTTGAGACTTTTAAAGTAATATAGTGCTTTATGTTCAATAAAAAACTCAACGCAAGAGAGTGAATGATCTTGCCTACATTTAAAAGTTAATTTTAGAATTACATACTTTATAAACAAGCACCTAAAAAACAAACAACCTATAGGAAAAGCTGTTTTTTATAGCAATGTTATAAGACTGCTTCATAAAAAATGGATGCTAACCATTATTTTTGAAAGTTTATTAAGAAACCTTAATTTGAATATTTTTCAAATAATATTCAGAAATTTTTCAAATTGAATCTCTAATCACTTTTTTGATTTGATTCTATTTGAATTTTTGAAGCTTTGTAGGGCCCTAATATATACATATATATATATATATATATATATATATATATATATATATATATATATATATATATATATATATATATATATATATATATATATATATATATATATATATATATATATATATATATATATATATATATATATATATATATATATATACATATATATATATATATATATATATATATATATATATATATATATATATATATATATATATATATATATATATATATATATATATATATATATATATATGTATTAATCATATTAGTCATAATCAAATTTTGCGTAACAAACTTACCGATAATGATATAAACTGCAACTGCATTAATAAAACCACATGCCTGTTAAATAATTAATGTCTATCAAAAAATGTTGTATATAAAGCCACTTTAGAATCACCTAATACCAGTCTTACCAAAAAATTCTACATCGGAATTAGTGAAAACACATTCAAGCTCAGATTTGCAAACCATCTTAAATCATTTAATGCAACCAGGTATAGGAATGATACGGAACTTTCCAAGGAAATCTGGAAACTTAAAGACGCAGGTAACATGCCTTTAATTAAGTGGAACATAATTAAAAGATGCCAATCTTTTAACCCATCTACAAAAAAGTGTAACCTTTGCATCAATGAAAAGTATTTTATTATGACTTTTGACAGTCGACTGCTACTTAACAAAAAAAGTGAATTGGTTTCTGCTTGTAGACATAGGAAAAAATTTTTACTATCTAACTTTGATTCTGGCAATTAGCAAATATCGGATTACGTATAATTGACGTCAGATGCCGTTGCAACGCTAAATTTGTATTTTTTATAACGGTTTTTATTTTTTATTTGAATAATATGGCTGATGATTGCCGAATGGCATAAAACTTTTACTTCAATTATAAAGTTGTATTTTTTTTATTTAAATTATTTTAATATATATATATATATATATATATATATATATATATATATATATATATATATATATATATATATATACTTGTTTCTCTGCGCAGTGGCCTTGTTGGAATTAATGTCAATTGTTGAGGCTTGTAAATTTTTTAAAGTACCCAAAACAACATTATTCTATAAATTAAAAAATAGACACTGTAAATCAGTGGGGCACCATATTGTCTTTAGTATTGATTAGGAATATTGTTTTAAGAACTTAATTTTTATAAGTATAAAAGGAATACAGTTTAATGTTAATGACATAAAATTTTTTGTTAAAACCTATTTGGATGATAGTGGAAAAAATAAGACAATAGCTTAAAGATTGCCAACCAGGTTGAAAATGGTGTTAGCTTTATCTTGACAGATATCTGTTGTTAAAGAGAAAAAAATGTCTTGTAGTTTTTCAAGGAAAAATGTGCAGGATTGTCATATAAAAGTATTTTTCAGTTATTCAAAACCTAGAGAACAAAATAAATGAAGTAATTCCAGACAACATGCACAATGTGGATATAATGTGAAATATTGATGTTTAACTCGGAATTGGATATTTTTTTAAGAAATATGTTGATGTTTATCAACTTATTTGGGACAATGAGCAATTTATTGAAGTTTTACATATGTCTAAAAATTATGCAGTTCTTTAAATAGAACAAGCTACAACAATACACATGCTTTCGAAGATCATTGTTATCCTATAAAAGAATTTATTGAGACTCAACCTAATGACTTGTGACAATGAACAAATCTGAGACAATTAAAATATTGTAAAATAATTATGACATCTACTAACACCAAAAAACCAACAGCCTGCTGATAATCCATTTTGTCTTATTGGGTATGAAGGAACTTATAGCCTGGCCGAGTCAAAAAATTGCTGACAAATTGTTTGGAAACATTTAAATGAGTCCTTCTCATTTGACGAGAGTAAATAAATAATACAATAAATGATGACATGTTGGTTACAGAGTTGCATTAATTTTATTCACATTGAGATATTATAACTTTGATTTTTGTAAAACTTGTTGAATTTTTTTTATAGTAAATGATGTTTATGAATAGAGAATTTGTCTTTAACACTTTTTCTTTTATAACCTTAAAATTTGATCAACAAGTTTTTTCAGTGATTTGCGTAATTTTATTAAATAACTTGTATGTTTATTGTAAGGAAATTGTTTGTAATGCAAGGAAATCTAAACAACTTTTAAATAAAAGATTAAAATTGACATACAGTTTAGTAGTATTCAAAGTTACTAATCAAAATCTATATTAGGACAATTCCACCTAAATTTTTTGAAAACAAAAGTTGGTATATGGGTATGGAAGATTTTACATGTGAAACCAAACACATTTTTATAAACAATAGTTTAAAAAAATGTAAAACTGATTTGGGCTTCAACATTTAAGATTAGTTTTCTTAAAAAATAACTAATCTTATTAATTTTGTTAATAAAAATTTTATGTAGAATTAAAACTAGCGCAAAGCATATAAAGTTACCCGGAATGACTATCTGAAACATCATAAACAAACCATCATAATGGTAGCATTATAAATTATTAATCTACAATAACACAAGGTTGAGTAATAAACTGTGTTCACTAGATAAATAAAAAAATTTAAAAAAATAAAAAATTTGTCCCAAAGATTAAACCCAAATCAATTATGAAGATTGTAAATGTTGGAATGACCAAGTACAAGTATGTCAAATTAAGTGGAACCACTTAGAACAATTAGTTTTTGATCTGATGAATACAAAAGAATCTGGAGAGGTTTTGCAACTTTCACACTCTTACATATCTTTCACACTCTTACATATCTTTCACACTCTTACATATCTTTCACACTCTTACATATCTTTCACACTCTTACATATCTTTCACACTCTTACATATCTTTCACACTCTTATATATCTTTCACACTCTTACATATCTTTCACACTCTTACATATCTTTCACACTCTTACATATCTTTCACACTCTTACATATCTTTCACACTCTTACATATCTTTCACACTCTTAAATATCTTTCACACTCTTACATATCTTTCACACTCTTACATATCTTTCACACTCTTACATATCTTTCACACTCTTACATATCTTTCACACTCTTAATTAATTGAACGTGTTGTAAAGTATGTAACCAAAACATCTAAGCTAGTTTATAGTCTCAAGAAAAGTTTCAAAATTCTTGCTAAAGATCAGAATAAAAAAGAAAATCACAGAAATGTTAACAAAACCAATTACTTTATCCCAAGCAAATGATAAATTTATTGATAATTAAAAAAATCTTAAACTTATGTATTGTTTTTATTTGATCAATGCAATAAACTCTGTAAACTTCACACTTTTTTACCATGCATTGATCTGAGAGTTAGTCTCTTTTAACGCCTATTAGACCCATATTTTACGGGTGACATCCAAAAACAGTTCTTTACATTTTTGCCAATATTTGCAACACGCTATTCAAGTGTAAAGATCTATGTTTGCACAATTATTCCCAATGTTGTCAGTTTTTAAATGTTGAAGCCCGAATCAGTTTTACCTTTTTTTTATCTATTTTTTATAAAAATGTGTATGGTTTCACATATAAAATCTTCCATACCAATTTTTGCTTTCAAAAAATTTTGCTAGGTGGAATATATAAATATATATATATATATATATATATATATATATATATATATATATATATATATATATATATATATATATATATATGTATACAATACATATATATATATGTATACAATACATATATATATATATGTATACAATACATATATATATATATGTATACAATACATATATATATATATATATATATATATATATATATATATATATATATACATATGTATTGTATACATATATATATATATATATATATATATACATATATATATATATATATATATATATATATATATATATATATATATATATATATATATATATATATGTATTGTATACATATATATATGTACAATTATATATATATATACAATTGTTTACAAGTGAGTACTAAGTTATATAACCTATATAGATTATATAACTTAGTACTCACTTGTAAACAATTGTTTATACAAAAATAAATACCAGCATTATCATGCCAAATCCTTAAGTATTGAAGATCACCAATATGATCTGGGAAACTAGCTAAAAATACATCTTGCCCTCTTTTCTTGAATAGTTTCTTATTTGGTGCAACTAACTGTCTTACTTCTCCATCTCCCTCATCTCCACTTAGTTGTATGAAAACATTTGCAGAAGTTGATCCTTTTCCAGAAAACCCGGTATACACTGTTATTTCATAGAATTGAATATCAGAGGGATCATTTTCTTTCAAAGCTGTTACACCAGCCTAATAAAAATAAAAAAATTATTTAAACAAAAAACAAATGTAAATAAAACTTTAAATTTATTAATAATATTATACTTGTGCAACACTTTGAACAATAATTCATGCATTTTGAACAGTAATTCATGCAAGCATTCATGGAGATATATAATAATATAAATAATAACAATAATAATATAGTAAGCATTCATGCAAATTAATTAAATTACAGGGGTGGGACCGCAAAATGTGAACACTTTTCTGATTGTAATAATTAATTTTCTGTTAAATATGAACTATTTTAAATGTTCAATTTGACCTCCTTGATTCTCGTAGATCATTTTACAACGTTTAGACCAACTCTTTAGACACTTTCTGATGAGTGAGAGAGTACAACTACATCTAACGAGAAAATAGTTATAATAAAACAAAAACGTTCACATTTTGCGGTCCCACCCCTGTATATTTACCAAAAGCACTAATAAACTAAAATATTCAGCTGATCTTGTAGTTGATGTAAAAAAAAAGACTCAAAGTAATTTGAGCTAATTTATTTAACTGTGATAATTAACATTAAAATTTCTCTCTATGGTAAGCAATGATCTGGTAAATAATCTTAAAACTTTATCTGTTTTTTCTGCTGGAAACCTTTTATAATAATAAACCAATGCAAAAGTGAAATGCCACTGAAATGCCAAATTATCTACAAAAAAATTGTAAATATAAAAACAATATTTTTTACCCTTTCTACATCTTTTCTATCTTCTCTTCTTGCCCAGAATAAAAGAATAAGATAAATGCCAAAAATTGATAGCACCACAGAAAATGCAGTTGGATTATTTGATAAGTTAAGAAAACCTGAAAAAACTTTAGAAAAGTCAATAGGATTAGGTGCCACAAAAAAACTTGCAGCAAATGTTGCACGCTTGACTTCTCTTTTAACTTTTTCTTTTTTCACAGTAGCTTCTCTTTTATTTCTTGTGTTTACTACTTTTGATTCAATTGTGGCAGGCGTTAGACTATTTGAAGAAACCTTGTTTTCACTTTCATTATTGAATTCCATTTTACAGACACAATGAGTTTTATTGAATGTAGTTTTTTGACCAACCTAATAACAAAATATAAGTTATATACATATAAACTTTTATGCAATAATAAAGTTCATATATTGTTTTTTAAATATTATATTTATATCAGGATATTATCCTAGATGCAGATTATACTCTATGTAAAGAGTAATAATGAAAATAGCTAATCATCTCTGTGACTAATTATGCAAACTTATGCAAATATGAATAGTAATAATGAAAATAGCTATTTATATCTGTGATTACTTATGCAAATTCATAAAAATATTTATGGTTACTTTATTATATATGTTGCTTATGTGTTCTGCTTGTTTTAGGTATATTTTAACAATAAAGTTACTGTTGACTGTGATTTGTGTATAAGCTTTTTCTCAATAAAATAAACCTGTGTTTATTCTGAACATCTGTTTGTTTTTCTTTGCTTTTATGACTTATTCTTCTTTATGTAAAAAGACTTTTTACAGAATTGTTTCATATTTCTCTGTGGGCTTTCATTGCTTAGTTTAGTTCAAGCACCACAGATTACAGCTATGTTATAATTAAAGTAAATAAACATCACAAGATGTTTAAAGTTGGAAGAGGAATAACTTAACTAGAAAAAGGAATTAATTACCTTACACCCT